CGCGAGGCCACGCGCGTGTGGGCCCGGAGTATGGGCAAGGTGTGGACCTGGTCGTCGCAGGCCGTGCACAGGTGACCCCCGCACACGCTGCAGAACCACTCGGCGTCCTGCTTCGCGCAGTTCTCGCACGGCCGCTGTGGCGGGAGGGCCGCCGCCTGGGCTGATGGCTGGAGGTGGAGGTGGTGGGCGATGAGGTCGACCAGGTCGAAGTTGCGCGGGAGCGCGTGCACGCCGCCGCCGCCGGGTCCCTGCTGCTGGCGTAGTGGGGTCGGGGTGCGACACTTGGGGCACTCCAGCGCGGCGCGTGCGCCACAGGCGATTTGTGTGAGGCAGCTGCTGCAGAACCTGCACACGCCCACGCCCACTCCCTCTTTAATAAAAATAAATACATCATTCTATTATTATTGGAGAAATAATAATATTATTTCATCATTAATTAATGAGTAAAATAATAGAAAATAAAATGAAAGCGTCGTACGAGTGGCCGCAGGTGAGAAGACGAGGCAGGTGGACGTCTTCATCAAAGGCCTCCAAACAGACGGCACACAACCCCACCACGTCCTCGCCCTTCTCCATTCTTTCGTTGTAACGCCGAACACCTTTGTTTCGGTGGTTTCGCAATTCCGTGTAATCTGGTCACCAGGTGACACAGCTCACCCCAAACTCCACAAGGGCGGGGAGAAGAAGAGTGAGGCTCACGCTAGTTGGCCTTCTTCTTCTTGGCGGCGGCGGCCTTGGTGGCGGGCTTCTTGGCCGCGGGCTTCTTGGGCTTGGAGGGCTTGGCACCCGAGTTGTTCCAGTAGAGGAAGATCTGGCCGATGATGATGGCGTTCAGGGAGGCGCCCACGATGTAGCCGATGAGCACTGGTGGACCAAACATGGCGGGAGAAGGTGAGACACTCAACACGACGCGACGCGACATACACGCACACGACACATGACACGTACCAAGAGGATCATCGATTTCCTGGAGGGTAGTGAAGATGCGGGCCAGCGAACCACCGAAGTTAAGGAACCAGGTGATGAAGGAGAGCTGGCCGGTGGACTTGTTCTGTTTTTTGTTTGCGGCGGAAGAGGGGCGGTGTGGGTGGTGGTGGTGAGAAGCCTGTTTCACACTGGCTCCAGAGCTCTGCACAGAGGCAACGTACCCTGTAGCTCTCCCAGATCTGGGGAAGGCGGCTGGCAATCACGATGGGCGTGACGCAGCCCTGCATGATCTGGAGGGCGGAGAAGGGGACGAAGCCGCCGAGCAGCGCGTACACGGCAGCGCCGTAGAGGGCAATGCCAGCGAGGCCCTGCACGAAAGAGAAAGAAAGGGAGAGAGAAGAAGTGGTTGTGAGAGAGCGGTCGCTACTTGTAGGCCACCAAGTGTGTAGACGCACCTGGAAGCCAACGCCGCCGTGCTCGAAGGAGAGGATCTGGCAGATGATGAGCAGGTCTGTGAAGTAATGTAGAAGAAGTAGAAGTAGAAGAAAAGGTTAGAACGTAAAATGTAAAGACAAGATGAAGGCTCAAGAAGAAGAAGAAGAAAGAGGAATTGAAGAAGGAAGAGCCGTACTGGCGCCGGCAACGAAGACCGACTCGCCGTAGGTCATGAAGGGGAAGCCCTTGCTGTAGCTGTACGAGAACGAGATCGTGACCCTGTTGTTGTTGTGGTTGTTGTACGGTGAACCGTTAGCGCTGCCATGAGTAGTGCCGAACAGAAGAGGAAGAAGAAACAAAGCATGTAGAACGTTCTACGCGCTCTGTTGGTGGAGAAGACGGAAGAAGAGAAGAAGAAGAAGGAGAAGAAGTACGAGAGGAGCTCGAGAAGAACGCCGAGCATGGCGAGGCCCTTGGCGCTCCTGCTGTTCTGGACCTTGAGGATCTGCGGCAGCTTGTAGACCAGCGAACCGGCCACGACGCCGAAGCTAAGGAACTTGCTCAGCAGCATCTTCAGGCAGGGCACGTCTGCAGGGGCCAAGAAGAAGAGAAAGAAAAACGTGTAGCGCACGAAAATCAGATGGGGCTCGAGATGGAATCGAAGCGAGAACTCTCGAAAACGGGAGCGTACCAAGGAAGTTGTGGTCAACCACGAGCTGCTTGAAGCAGTGCTCACCCATAAATTCAACGAGGTTTTCTAATTCAACCGCGATTGATGAGGTTAACGATACGTTATGAATTACGCATGATCACAGCTGCACGCAAAGGGCACGTACTGAGCTCCATGATGTCGATCTTGATCTTGTCGTAGCGTGAAGAGGAACGTTGAGGCCACCAAAGCAAAGAGAAGAAAAAAAGAAGGGAATTGTACAAAAAAAATACGTCACCTTGACATTCCTTGACCCGGCCTACCATAAATTCTAATCCCACATTCCAACGCCTTTTCCTGCTCAAAATACACAATAATCTGATTTAATCTGATTTAAGATTTGCTGCACTGGCGTGCCTTGAGTTGCACTCGGTCCCACAGCCCTAATCGAGAAGTAATTTAAGTTTTGCACACTTCGCACGATTTATTCATCTGGGCCGCTTCACCAGCGCGCGGCCAACGTTGCAACATCAGCACACGCGCCATCGGGAAAGATGGAAATATGGATGGAGCCCGTGGGCGGCGCTGTGGGTCCCATCTACGACGTCGAGTGGTACCGGATTATGGACGCATTTCGCCAATCTCACGCCGAGCGCGAGAAGGTCATGCGAGACTACCCAGAAGACCAGCTGCTCGACCAGCTCCTCCTCACCCTCCGGTACAGTCCCTCTTCTCCTACACTGAGCACACCAGTGATTCATTTATTTATTTATTATTTATTATTATTATTCTTTTTCACGTTACGTACCTTTTAATTCGAATAATTTAGTTTTATTTATTTATTTATTGTGCTCACGTCGCACCACAGGGCGGAAGTGAGGGACGACTCGCCGGAGGAGGTGCTCAAGTGCAACCTGCTCGTCTTCCTCCAGGAGAACGTCATGTACTTCCTCGCCGAGGACGCACAGAGGTACACCAAGTCGCGTGTTGCGGTGTTGTCGCAACGGGCGTGCCGTTGACGTGTGTGTGTTGTGTGTCGTCATGTGTCGTGCAGCACGGAGAAGGTGTGCGCGCAGCTCAACAGCATCTTGAATCACATCGGGGAATCGAACGGCCTCATCTTTATCAAGTGCAACGTGCTGGCCACCCTGACCACCATTCTCCTCGAGCTTGAACTCATCCGCACGCAGGTCCCTTTCCCCTCCTGCGTCGCTTTCGCTTTCGCTTTCTCTCTTTCTCCCTCCCCCCCTCTGCAGGTGCACCAAAAAAACGCGCCATTTACATTGCTTGTCTCGATACAGCCGCGAGTGTTTGAATCGTTTGTGGAGGTGCTGTTCGACATCATCAGCCACATCAATTCGCCCGCCGATCGAGTGTTGCGCGCTGCCGTGCGTCCATCCTTATTCATTCTCTTCAAGGCCGCCATGAATGCCACTTCTAACTCGCGTGGTGGCTGGTCGTGTGTGCGTGTGTGATGGAAACAAAGGCGTGCGATTGCCTGCGAGAGTTGGCCCTCACCTACCCCAAGCTGCTCACCAAATCCCTAGGCCACCTCTACAAGTACTGAAATTTATTTACCATTTCATTTTCAAAAGAAGGCGACTGGTTAATTATATTAAACTTTTTATTTATTTTAGTTTTTGCCAGCAGGAGGTGTCCCACGCCGTGCAGTCCTACCTCGGCCTCTTCTCCTCGGCCTTCGTCTCCTGCTCGTCGGCCATCTTCGAGGACCCCAGCGCCCAGCTGCAGGGCCACGACGGCGTCGACGCCGACGACAGCGCCTCCGCCTCCGCCTCGTCTTCGTCGCTCTCCTCTCCCTTCGCCTCCACCTCGTCCCTCCCCTCCCTCGCCGCAGCACCACCGTCGCCCTTCGCCGGCTCCAGCTACATCAACTACGGCTCGAGCTCCTCCTACACGCTCATGCGGGGCGGCGAGAACCGCGAGTGGAGCCTCTCGAGCGGCGGCGGCGAGCGGACGTCGTCGTCGGCGCACCTCTCGATGCCGGGAGCCTCGCTGCTCTCTGTGGTCGCGCCGCTCTGCCCGTTTCACATTCCAGAGGACGTCCAGCTCCGCCCGCTCGCCTACCCCAGCCAGTCGGCTGCGTCGACGTCGCGTCGACGTCGGTCGCCTCCGCGTCAGCCGCATCGTCGTTGAACGCGGCCGCGCAGTCGTCGTCGGTCCCGCTGCTGCACATTCCAGACGCATTCCTGCGAGACGTGCGACGCTCGGTGTCGCTGCTCGTGGAGAGCGCCCCGCGGGTGACCGACTGGGGCCTGGCCACCATCCTCGAGCAGCTCATCACCTTCGTCGCCCGCACCGGTGCGCGCCTCGTTCATGATTTATTATTTATTATTTACATTATTTTATTTACAACTGGTGCCCTAATCGATGAAACTCACTCCGTGTGTTGTGTCGTTGGTCGTGTCGTGCGGTGTCGTGTCGCCACCAGACTTCCACGTGATGTGTTCAAGCACTACTTCTTCCACTACCTCTACACGAACTCGCTGGTGATGCTCCACGCGGTGGTGACGATCATGCTGCGCTTCCCCGAGGTCATGCAGACCGGCGACTACCGCAAGCTCATCGACCAGCTCTTCCGCCTCGTCGACGAGCCTCTCCTGTGCGCCTCACTTCCTGCGCACACGCACACACCAACGCACATGCTCATGACCTGACACACTAACACACACACACACACACCACACACACACACACACACCGCATACGCACACGTAGGTCGACTGAGCGGAGGATAATGGTGATCGAGTGGCTCACGTCGCTCGAGCGATTCTTCCCCGACGCGCTGGTCTACCACCTCATGCTGCCCGAAAGCCCGCCGCCTTCGCCTTCGGCCCCGCGGCGCGTGGGCGACCAACCGGCGATGTCGTCGCCGCCCTCCGCCCCGGCCGACGCGATCACGCCCGCCATGCGACAGAGCCTGCCGCCCCTCCTCTTCCAGTACTACAACCGCTTCTATCCGGTCATCTTCGACTCGTGGGAGCTCCGCGAAGCCAAACTATATCCTCCTCCACCTCCCTCTGTGTCTCGTGTGCGGCGTGTTCGTCTGCGTGTCGTGTCGTGAACGCGTGTCGTGCGCCTTAACTCTGATACGCTTGCGCTGTGCTCCTGCTTTAACGCCGACACCGCTGTGCCGCCGCCGTACGTGCTTTCCTCCCCCCATTGCTAGCGCCAATCGCTAACTGCACGCACGCGCTTGCGACCGATAGGACTATACTGCGGGTGCTGGCGTGCGTGGAGGAGTACCGCTTCTACGCGTCCGCCGCTCGGCCAACCGTCATCGCCTTCCGCGTCCTCAGCGCCATGCTCCTCTCCTTCACCGAACTCTACGCCGAAATCTACAAGTACCACTCTCTTGCTCAGCTTTCCTCCCGGTTGCCCTCACTCACTTCGTGTGGTGTGTGTGTGTGTGTCGCGCGTGTCGTGTGTGTCGTGTAGATATTTGCTCAATCTGATTCTTCACATGCCCAAGTTCCTGCCCAACGTGATCAAGCTCATCAACGACATCAAGGACAGCCCGATCGCGGCCACGTCCAAGGTGGCCGCCGTGCTGCTGTCGTCGCTGAACGAGGTCTTTGCCACGCACCCCATCAACCGGCTGGCCCAGTACCTGTCCATCCTCGAGCCCATCGTGTCCGAACCCTCCATCGACCCCACGGTACGCCGCTTCACCACCCGACATGCTACCTGGCCGACCAGCACTGACTCATGTCCGCACACACGACACACACGACACACACGGCACACACGGCACACACGGCACACACGGCACACACGGCACACACGGCACACACGGCACACACGGCACACACGGCACACACGGCACACACGGCGTATACGACACGCACGGCACGTGGAACAGAATCTGCTGCGTAAGGTGCTGCAGTTCCTCAAGCAGACGAACTACTGCCAACAGGGAAAGTGGAACGAGGGCGACTCGGTCCTCGCAATCAGCAGGTGCGCCCGACGGCCCAAAGGTCTCTCTTAACCTCAAGAAGTAGGAATTAATTCTCACCGCTTGTGTGTGTGTGTGTGTGTGTGTGTGTGTGTGTGTGTGTGTGTGTGTGTGTGTGTGTGTGTGTGGTGCGCGTCGTGCGCGTCGTGCGTCATACGTGACAGAGCGGCTCTGTTGACGCACCCCACGCGGCTCGTGTTCAAGCCGTTGGGCGAGGTGCTGCTGTTCTGCGTGCACAACTACGCCGATGTTGACATCCGCGATCGCGCTTACTTCTACTACCAGCTCCTCACCCACGTTTCCTCCGATCGACTTCGCGTACGTGCCGCACACACGACACACTCCACCGCACACGCACACGCCACGCGCAGCGTGCGCTAATCGGTGGATCGTTTATTGTTGGCACGCGCAGACCATTTTGACGCCGCTGTCGGACCTGCAGGCGGAGGATGAGGAGAAGACCATCGGAATGCAAACCACGCACCTCCCCAAGATCCCCGTCCTGACCTACCCCCTGCACAGCCAACTTTCGCTCGCGCGACGGCCTGCCGGGCCGCAGCTCTCGCCATCAGTGTCGCCCGCGTCGTCGCCCGTGCAGCAGCACAGCGACAGCGAGGCACACGGCGAGGGAACGCGAAGCGCAATTGACGAAGCGCGAGGAAAGAACGAAGCTGAAGAACGAAAGCGAAGCGCGGAGGAGGAGGAGAGACGACGGGACGAGGCGGCGCGCGAGGCAGAGGAGAAGCTGTTCCGGGACTACTACGCCCGCGTGGTGGCCGACAGCGCCAACGCCGACGCAGTCGACGCCGGCGACGCCTGTACGCTGACCCAGCAGCAGCGCCAGCGGCGGCCGAGCTTCACGCTCGACTTCACGCTGCGCTTCAAGACCGAGGCCGAGCAGCTGCGCGATGTGTCGACAAACCACCACCACTCGATGATGTCGACAGACGCGTCGGCCCTGACCGGCAAGACCCTGCCCGCCAAGCTCTACACGCTGGTCCTCAGCTTCGCGCCGTCGCGCCTCTACGAGCCGCTCGCCAGCGTCCACATCCCCTATCTGTGCCGCGGCGAAGATGCGATGATGACGTCATCATCGCCATCGGCGTCGGCGGTGCCGTCATTGTCGTCGACGTCGTCGGGCTTCGCAGTGCCGCGGCGCCGCGGTCGGTGGGCCAACGCCAGCGGCGAGGCGGAGGCTCCGCCGGCAGCGGCGGGCGGCGAGGCGGCGCGGTTCCCCTACGTCTACGACGTGACGATCGCCTTCCGGCCGCTGGCTCCGCTGCCCGCGTCGTTCGCCGTCAACTCGACCTTCAACGACCGCGAGGGCCACATCTGCGAGGGCCAGATGGAGCCCCTCCACGTCCACTTCACCGACCTCTTCCTCCCCCTCCCCCTGGCGTCTTCGTCTTCGTCTTTGTCGTCTTCGTCTTCGTTCTCTTCGGTGTCGACATTGTCGACGTCACCAGAGGAGGAGGCGGGGGATGAGGAGGACTCCCGGGTCGAGGGAGCGGCGGCGCCGCTGGCCGGGGACGCGCTCCTGCGGGCGATGTGGCGACAGCTGTGGCGACGCGTGGGCCTGCCGGGCCTGGGCGTTTCCTCTTCCGCTGCCGAATCGCATGACGACAGGTTCCATCATGCTCCGCACACAACGCACGCAACACGCGACACGCACCACACACCACACACCACACACACGTACATTGACGGCCTATGACACACGCGCGAATGATGTTGATCGGTGCCAATATGTGCAGAGAGGAGAGCGGTCGGTCGGTCAAGTACCTGGCCAAGGGGCGGGAGGTCATGACCCGAATCATCCACCGCCACTTCGGCCGATTTATTGTTCCCCAGGATCGGCGTATGCACACGATCTCCACCTCAATTCAATCACGATGAGCGCTCATCAATTCAATCGCTCACTGTGTGTGGTGTGTGCGGTGTGTGCGGTGTGCGTGTGCGGCCCTGCACGCCCCACAGGCGACGATGATAGTGACGACGGTGAAGAGGGAGGTGACGCCGACGCCGTGACGGTGCTCCGTGTAATGATCTTCCTACCACCGCGCTATCACCTCCTCGTCAAGGCCAAGATGCAACGTGACGCCACCATCCTCGACATCCGGTTCGTCTCTCACTCTCCTTCACCGCAGCAACTTTCATGTAAACAGCTTGCATGGCAGGTGGAGACCGCACGTGGTTGTGGTTGCGGTTTGAGTTTGATTGGCGCCCTGGCATCAAAATGTTTTCTTTTTAACCTTCTTCGCCATGACCCGTTGTGGTGTGCAGGACCGACTTTTGGCGCGTGCTGCCTTACGTTGACCCGCTCTTCGATTCCCTGTGTGCTTCCCCGTGAACGCGCGCGTGTGCAACAAGACTGCTTCTACACTTTCGCCCGTCTATGCGGCGTGGCCACATCTTGCTTGGCTCTCTCGGCATCTCTCGCATCGGGGGGAGGGGACCACTGCGTGGCGTTTTTCGCACATTTTACGTCTGTTACATGTGTCTTTTCCTTGTCCGTTCGCTATTTTGCGTGGGCACCTATTTTGGTCATCCTAAAATCAGACCAATGGGCACCGTTGCTAATTAAATCAATCTGAATTCTGATTCGCGGATGTGATTGTGTCGACAAGCTAGATCTCGCCCTGATCAGAACAGGCCAAGTTGTCGCGACTTTTCGACCTGCTGCCCCATTCGCCTTTCTTTGTTGAGCCCGCGTCTGTTGGTTTCTTCTTTGTCTTGGTGGTTCTTCGACTCGCTGGCTCGTCAACCTTGTGGTGAGGAGCCAAGCCTCGATAGATTTATCGCTCTCCGCTCAGCAAAGACACAAATAACAACGCGCACAAGGGGCGTGTATAAGAACAACTCTTGCCGTTATCTCTTATCTCATATCACCCCCAACTCGACCGAGACCCTCTTCTTCTCCATCTATTGTTTTTACTCCACCTGTCCTTTGCCGACCCCACCTCTGCATCTGTGGTCACCACTAGCGGCTTCGAGGCTGCCCTGCGCTGGTTAGGTACCCTTTCGAGTAACCTTCTTGCTCTGTGTGGCCCGCAGGAACTTTTTTCGTTACATAGGCCGGGACCGGCGCACTTGTTGATGTCTCTTCCTGGGCCTTGCCTGTCTCTGACTCGTCTTGTGGTTACATTTGTATCGACCCACACAGCAGAGGGCGACCCAGAACATGCACAGCGGGGCTCCAGACGCAGCAGGCACGGTGGCCGTCACCTCCCTCAAGAGGGGGCGCCAGGCGACTGCAGCGCTGTCGTGCGCGACGAAGGGGACACCTCCAACGGAGTTAAAAAAGCAAAGAACGAAAGCGACAGTACTCGTCGGCGGAGTCAAGGCTGCCGCAGGAACCTGCGGCTTTCCTTCCGCAACAACTTCCACCACCACGACCACGACGAACCAGACCGCTTGGGGTCACGAAAGAACGAAGGCGGTGGGAGGAGGAAGCGGAGGAGGCGCGATGATAGAAAGAGCGAAAGCGAAGGCGATGGCGACGGCAATGGTGGTCTCGGAAAGATGGACCCGGGCACACGCCGGCGCCCTTCGATTCCTCAGCCCATCTTCGCTTGCGACGGCGGTGGAAGAAGAGCGGAGCAAGGGGCGTGCGCTGATAAACCTCCATCTGGGCTTCCTCTTCTGCTGCATCTTCTACGCCATTTGTGCCCTTCTCATCGACGGCACCCTCATGACCGACAACGGACTCGTTTTTTTCCTCGGCTTTGTATGTCCCCTTCGCTTTCGCTTTCGCTTTCGTTCTTTTAGTCTGATCCAAAAGAGATCAACATAAATAAATGGAATAAATAAATAATTTTACAAATAAAAATGGCAGCCTAACCTCCGTTGTTTCTTTATTTTTTTTGCAGGTGTTTTACCTTTCGAATTTGTTGGTATACCGAGCATGGGGCAACTTGTACGTTACGGCGATGCTGTTGCTACTCTTCATCGAGCACACCATCATGTTCAAGGTGAACTCCTCTCTCCCGTGATACCACCTTCCCTGCTCCTTCCTGTCCCCTTCCTCATTTCTCATTTCTCATTCTTCATTCCTCCCTCTCTCTCTTCCCCCACAAGTCTTACCTAGACGGACCGCACTCTGAAACTTTCTTCTGGTGCGCACGACACACACCTCACACGACACACACACACACACACATACATACACAACACGCACGCAACACGCAACACACACGACACACAACGCGACACTCATCGATCGTTGTTGGGATCGTCGGGTGTAGGGTGATCCTGCTGCCGCAGTTGGTGTTCTTCCTGCTGGGCCAGCGCTCGGGCGCCTTCTTCCTGGCGATGGCCATGTTCCACACGGCCCTCCTCTACCTCATCCAGGTCGTCTCCACTTCCCCCGCCTGCGGCCTCCTGGGCTGGACCACCGTCGACCAGTTTGTGACGACCGCCGCCGCGCCGCTGATGACGTGTCACGGCGCCGTCGACGATCTGTTGGGCGACGCGACGAGAGCGATGGGCCATGTGTCGGACGTCGGCTCATTGACGTCGTCGTCGGGCTGGCTCTCGGCGGTGATGGTGTCCAAGGGCTACGAGTCGCCGCACGGCATCTTCATCAACCGACTCTCGCTCATCCTGTTCGTCAGCAGCTTCGCCTTCTTCCACGAGAACCGGCGATCGCTTGCCCTGCGCCAAATCGAGGACACCCTCCGGTACCTCTTCGCTCTTAATTCAATTAATTAATATTAATATTATTAACTGGTGCTTTTATTTATTTATTTATTTATTTATTTCAGAGAGAAGGAGGCGGTCAATGCGAGCTTGCAGCAGGCCACCAAGGCCAAGACCGACTTCCTCGCCAACATGAGCCACGGTTCGTTTTTTAAATTTTATTTTATTTATTGTTCGCTTTTCCTTCGGTCTTCGTTCTTTGGAGGGCACTGACGCAAAGCGACACACTTTACAGAGCTGCGCACGCCTATGCACGGGATCATCGCGATGGCGTCCGATCTGAAGGAGATGCCGCTGCCCAGCAAGGCCCGCGAGGCCATCGGCATCATCTCCGACTGTGCCGACCACCTCCTCTCCCTCGTCAACGACGTGCTTGACTTTGCTCGGTACCACCGCACGACACACAACACACACAACACACACACGACACGACACGACACGACACGACACGACACGACACGACACGACACGACACGACACGACACGACACGACACGACACGACACGACACGACACACACACGCACACACGGTCCGATACCGCATGCACGAGCTGCTCACCGCGACGTTCGAACTCGGTTCAGTATTGAGCAGAGCCAGCTGGAGCTGGAGCAGATCCCGTTCTGTATGACGTCGGAAGTGAAGAAGGCCCTCGCCATGCACTCGGTCATCGCCAAGCAGAAGGGCGTCTACCTCCTCGTCAAGAAAGTCCGCGTCTCCTTCCCCTACCACACCGGCGACCCGCTCCGCTTCCGGCAGATCATCATAAACCTCCTCTCCAACGCCATCAAGTTCACACCCGCCGGAGGTCTGCAATACCAACTCGACTGTGTCGTGTGTGTCGTGTGTGTCGTGTGTGTCGTGTGTGTCGTGTGTGTCGTGTGTGTCGTGTGTGTCGTGTGTGTCGTTCGTGTCGTGCGTGTCGTGCGTGTCGTGTCTCACTCTTCTCGTGTGCGTGTCCTTTTCAGGCCAAGTGAGCGTGTCGGTGGTGAACAAGAAGAGCAACCCCGAGCTCATTCGCGTCTCCGTGCAAGATACGGGTATCGGCATTCCCAAGAGCTCCCAGCCCCATCTCTTCGAGGTATACGCCGTGTGCGTCGTGTCGCGTGTGTCGTGTGTCGTGTGTCGTGTGCGATTTCTGATGTTCTGGCCGCGCTGCTGTGTGGTGTCGTCGATACAACAGAGCTTTTCGCAGCTGGATGCCTCGGTGCGACGCAAGTACGGCGGGTCGGGCCTGGGCCTGTCGATCTGCAAGAAGCTGTGCGAGGCCATGGGCGGCGAGATCGAGTGCCGCAGCGAGGTCGGCAAGGGTAGCGACTTCGCGTTCTTCGTGTGCCTGCCGCCGACCACGAAGCAGAACTACCGCGAGGCGCGCGAGGGCGACGAGAGCGACCACAACGCCGCCGTGACACGTCAGCACCGCCACAACCACCACCCGCTCGCCACCCCGCCCGACGTGTCGGCCGACGAACAGAAGCGGATCGACGACGACGATGACGATGCACTGATGGAGAGCGACAGCCTGAGCGACGACTCGCATCTCTACTCCGATAGCTCGGAAACTAGCTCCGATGATGACGATGACGACAGCTCGTCCGCCGACGACGATGACAACGACGACTCGGAAGTCGACGATGAAGCGCCCGAGGAAAACAACGCCGTTGCCAGGCGGCATTCGAGCTCGTCGATGCTGACCAAGTCGTTGGGCATCACCCCGATCCGGCGCACGCGGCACAGCAGCGGCGGCCCGGACCTCGGCCGCATGATCGCCTCGGCCTCGCGCCGACACAAGGCCGACCAAATGAACGAAGACGACGGTCATGGCAATGACAAACGCGACGGCAGCCGGCGAAGAATGAAGCGAAACCACAGCGGGCGTCGGGCGAGCTCGCCCGCCTCGACCACGGCCGTGCTCACCGCGGCGGCGGAGGCCGTCGACAGTCGGCGCCGCATGAGCGCCAGCAGCGGCTCCCAGCACCAGCGACCCAGCAAGCTGGTCAACGCGCGCCGGGCCAGCGAGCAGCACGGCCTTACGATACGCCACGCCGTCGAGCAGCAGCAGCGCCTCCTTAACAGCGGACGCGGCTACGTCGCCGACGACGACAACAATAACGACGACTGGCTTCTCAGCGGCGGTGCTGCGTCGTCGTCGCTTCTCTCTTCCGCGTCGTCTTCGTTCTCGCCGTCGGCCTCGTCGTCGGCGCTCTCCTCGCCCTCGTCCTCCTTCTGCTCGTCGTCCGAGCTGCTCCTGCCCGTGCCCCTGTCCGCCGGCCTCGCCCTGTCGCCCTCGTCGTCGAACGGCTCGCCGCAGGCCAACGATACCGACTGCGCGCCTCCATCATCGTCGTCGGTGCTGGCCGGGCTGCGCCGCGGCTCGGTGCCGTTCGGCGCGTCGCCCAGCCACCGCCTCCTCTCCAGCCCGGCGCTCACCGGCGGCGGCGGCGGCCTGAACCCGCACCATGCGAGCATGCCGATCATTCCTTCGCTCGCTTCGGCCTCCGACTCGCCCCTCCCGTCGCCCCTGCTCTCCCTTCCGCCCCTCCCGCTCAACGCTACCGCCGGCGCCGGCCCGCCGCCCTCACCCTCGTCGACATTTCTGACGTCGTTGGCGACATTGTCGACATCGTCGTCATCTTCATCAGCGTCGTCGGCGCTCATGACCATGTCGTCGGCCCAGCACCTCCTGCCGGGCGTCGCGTCGCGCCACCTCTCGCTCAACTCGTGCGCCTCGCCGCGCGGCATTCCGCGCGTTCGCACGGCCACCCCGCCGCGCCCGGCCACCCCGCACCACGCCAGCAGCGGCGCCCTCCTCCTGCCGCGCTCGGCGGGCGGCACCCCGGCCGTGCCGCCGCTCAGCCTCTCCAAGCTCCACTCCTCCAAGTCCGCCGAGCGGGGCCAGTCGTCGTCTTCGCCGGTTGCGGCCGCAAACGCGAATGCGACGGCGCCGCGTTCGTTCTACGTCCCGTCGTTCCCGCCCGAAGCCATGCTCGCATCGCCGCGAGACTCGCCGTCTTCGTTCTCTTCTTCGTCTTCGTCATCATCAGACGCCGGCATGCCGCCGCGGTCGGCCGAGGAGGTCTACCAGGACGTGATGCGGGGCAAGCGCATTCTGGTGGTCGAGGACAACCTCATCAACCAGAAGGTCGCCCTCAAGATGCTGTCGTCGTTCGACTGCCGGGTGACGGTGGCCGAGAACGGCCTCGTCGCGATCAAGCTCTTCGAGGAGAGCTTCCGCTCGCGCGGCGGCCGGCACGCGACCGACGGCGAGCCCCTCTTCCACGCCATCCTCATGGACATCCAAATGCCCGTCATCGGTACCCTCTCCTTATTTCTGTCAATGGTGTGTGCGGTGTGTGCGGTGTGTGCGGTGTGTGCGGTGTGTGCGGTGTGTGCGGTGTGTGCGGTGTGTGCGGTGTGTGCAATTCTAAGAATGACGCGCGCAGACGGGTTCGAGACGGCGATTCGGATTCGCGAGCTGGAGGCGCAGTTCAACGAAGCCGAGGCTGCCCGTACGCCGGCGCCCAGTGGCCACCAGCCGCAGGTGGCCGCGGTGCCGATCATCGCCCTCACGGCGTCGGCGACGAAGGAGTACCAGCAGAAGTGCCTGACCAAGGGGATGAACTGCTTCCTGTCGAAGCCGCTCAAGAAGGAGACTCTGGTGCGGACGCTGACGGAGGTGATCAAGCAGGCCGGCTACTACGACGAGGCGGCCGAGCTGGCACGTCGCCGGGCCGACCAGGAGCGCGCGCGCCAGGCGGCCCGCGAGGAGGCCGAGCTGCGCGCCCGCACCCAGCGCCAGCGCGAGATCGAGGAGCTGCGCGAGAAGCGCAAGGCCCGCGAGCAGGCCACGATCATGATGATGATGGGCATGGCCGCCACCAATGCCGCCCTGGCCATCAACAAGCTCCACCACCACCACCACCAGGTGGCGGCCGCGGCGGCCCGCGATGACCAGAACGGTGACGATGACGGCGACAATGGCGAGCTCGGCCGGCGGCGCATGGCCGAGCTGCTACGCGCCAAGGGCCGGTCGCGGCACGTCAAGCACAACAGCATCGGCTGACGTGTACACGCCAGCATAAATAATAGCACATTTTTATTTTTATCCATAATTATCACGCAAAGTAGGCCCCTGTCAGCGCATTCTGCGAATTCCAATGACCTAATTCGGTGTTGAGATGCAATCTCGCGAGCCAGATCTGGACGGCTGCCCGAAAGAAAGCGTGCGTGGTCTCTGCTCGATCGGCAGAGCGCCGTTGTGTGGTACGAGAAAGTAAAATGGGTGTGCTAACCAACAAAGGTCTTACAAAGCAGTATTTTAGTACACCTCAAGCCAACAAGACCTCACGGTGAAGAAGACGAAGAAGAAAATGACGACGATGGCGAAGAGACTCCTGTACAGTTCCTTGGTCGTCCTTGTTGTCTTCGTCTGCCTGGTGGCCTGCTCGTCGCACGAAGATCACCTCCGGGCCAAGGTGGGCCAGGTCTACCCGCAACTCAGCGCCGACAAGGTGGACGCCTTCGTCCAACAGCTCAGCGCCGAGTCCAACAACTCAGAGGGCATCTTCTCCAGCGACACCACAAATCCGTTGACGACGGGTCCCTTCTTCCTCGTGACTGTACGGGCTCTTTTGCCTTTTTTGTTACGTTTCGTTTCACGTTTCGTGTCGTTTCTCGTTTCGTTTCGTTTAATGTAAACGGTTGGGGAAGCAGCCAAGCCGCGGCTGGCGAGCCCCGTGGCGGTGTTCGACTGCGACGTGTACCCGGCCTCGGCCCGATTCCCGCCCCACAGCGCCAAGTTCCTGCGACCCGCCGACATCAAGGTACTGGCCGCCCTGGGCGACAGCCTCACCGCCGGACTCGGCGCCAAGTCCTCCAGCATCGACGACCTCTTCAACGACTATCGAGGGGTCTCCTTCGCCAGTTCGTACACTCCACCCTGGCCTGGCCCAGCCTCGCCTGTTGCCTGATATGTAACCAGGAATGTAATTACATTATATTACCTTTATTGATCATATATATAATATGTTGCATGTCAACAGTTGGCGGAGACAGCGACGTGGACCGAGTAGTGACGCTGGGCAATATCCTGCGCCGGTACAACCCGCACGTTGAAGGTCCCTCCACGTGTGACGTTCGACACGCCAACCTCAACCTCGCCGCCACTGGAGCCTCCGTCCAAGGTGCGGGTGCCTCCATTGTTGTTGTGGTGCGATCGATCTTGTAAAAGAAGATGAGCTAATAAGAACGAAAAACGTAATCCAGGCCTCAGGGATCAGGTGGTTGGGTTCATGGCCCGGCTCAACGCCACCACGACCGACTACGGCTTTGCCAACGATTGGAAGATGATGACGATCATGATCGGCAGCAACAACCTGTGCCATTTGTGCGCCGACCCGGTGGCGAACAGCCCGCAGACCTTCGGCCGCCTGCTGGAGGAGAGCATCGATCTTCTGTACGACCAGGTGCCCCGCCTCTTCATCAACCTCGTCCCGGCCCCCAGCCCGGTCATCCTCCACGCCTACTCGAGCTGTACGTCTTGCCCCACCTGCACCACCGCACACGCACTCACCGCACACACCGCACACGCACCACCGCACACGCACCTGATAAGAATTGGGGGGGGTTCACAGATGGTCTGTGCGGGCTGTTCCACTACTACGCCTGCCCATGCATCACGGTGAGCGACGAGGTGCGTGCCGCCATCTCGCAGGTGCACGCGGCCTACGGGGCCGAGGTACAGCGGGTGGCGAGCCTGCCCAAGTACCGCACCCGCCGGGACTTTGCGCTGGTGGTGCAGCCCTTCCTCCTGGACTCCTCCGTGCCCCTGCTGCCCAACGGCGAGCCCGACTTTTCCTATGCGGCGCCCGACTGCTTCCACTTCTCCGGTACACCCCCCAGCTCCAGAAAGGTGACGACACGGACCACTACTTAAGGCCCATCACCACCAACACAGAGAAAGCGCACCAGGCCGCGGCTGTGGCGCTGTGGAACAACCTGGTCAGCCCCGCCGGCGAGAAGCAGACGACGTACGTGGGGCACCACTTTTATCGCTTTCGTTTTCTAGAACCGTTGACATTCATTCAAGTGGTCTTATCTCACCACCACACGCACAGGCTCTCGCCAGGCCAGGCCATCAAGTGCCCCAAGGCGTGGTCCACGGCCTTCCCTCTGGACTGATAGCTGATCGCTCATACGATCACGGGAGTTTACAATTTAATTGGAGAAGAAAACAAAGAGTTGGTTTCAATGAGTTGTGTTGTGGTGGAGAGCAACATGGTGGAGCCACAGAGAGGGCCTGGTGGGCCAACAACAGTGTAGGAGCTCAATAGGAGCCGCCGCTGACAATGTGGAGGTGCGGGTGGTCCTTGTCCGCCTGGACGAGCGTCTCCTTGGCCACGCAGAAGCACTGGTTGACGTTGATCCGCTGCAGCGCCGTCGCCCGGGCCAAGACCTCCAGGAACCCAGCCTCGTTCAGGTCCCTGACCCCCGTCAGGTCCAGCTCCGCCACCGCCACCTCCGTCGCCGCCGGTGCGAAGAGGGGCGCTTTGCCCAGACCGGTCGCGCCGACGGCCTTGACGCAGCGCACGGCCTCGAGGCCGGTCAGGGCCGTCAGCCCGGTGCAGCCGCCCACGTTGACCTCGTCCAGACCCAGGGCGGCGAGCGCGGCGAGGCCGGCTTGGGTGGTGAGCCGGGGCGAGCGGATGACGTTGAGCCGCCAGAGGCGCGGGAAGTGGGCGGCGATCTGGGCCAGATCGGCGTCGGTGAGGTCCCAGAAGGCCACGTTCAGCGCCTCGAGCCGCGGGCAGATCGCGGCCAGCCGCGCGAAGTAGGCTTCGTCCCGCTTCTGCGGGTGCTCGTAGTAGGCCGCGGCCATGTTGAGCTCCACCAGGCACTCTAGGCGCAGCGCCGCAGTGCTGGGCACCGACTGGAATGGCAGGAATGTGAGGTCGTTCAGGTGCAGGTGCGCGAGCCGCGGGAAGAGGCGGTGGAGGTGGTGCGTCGCGGCGTCAGTCAGGCGGTGGCAGTCCGACACGTCCAGCTCCTCGAGCGCGTAGGGGCCGTTCAGATCGATGACGTCAGCCGCCTCCTTAACCAGCGCCTTGACCAGGGCCTGATCCTCCGGGTTCAGCCGCGCCCGCCGCAGGCCGCCCGCCCGCGGGTCTTCGCCGTCGGGGTCGATCAGGTCCTCCCAGAACGGGCCGGCGTCGATGGCCGCGAGCGGCAGCAAAAAGTCGTCGGTCAGCGCCCCGCAGCCGACCAGGCGCCAGCGGGTCATCTGGGGCCGCAGGCAGCGCACCAGCACCATCGTGAGGCTGCGCAGCGCGCACAGGCTGGGCGCCCAGGTCGACTCGGTCGAGTCCTGCTCCCAGTCGTTGCCGGCCAGCGAGACCTCGAGCGCCTGGTCGAGCGCGCAGTCGGGCCGCGCGACCATGCGGATGATGAGCGTGTTGAGCACCTCGTCGTTGCAGAGCAGGTCGAGCACGGTGGGGGTGACCTCCAGCTGCGCCAGGCTGCGGGCGAACATGTGGGCCAGGTTAAGGTAGCGCGCCAGCGCGATCGAGTCAAAGTCCTGGTCGGGCAGCCGCTCGATCTCGGCGTCGCTCGTCTGCGCCAGCGCGTGCCAGATCCGGCGCGCGAGGTGGTCCGGCAGCTGCGCGGCGGCGTTCAGGGCCGACAGCTGCTCCGGCCTGCAGGTGCGCACGGCCTCGACGCAGTGGTCCACAAGGCTCACCAGCGGCGGCGCCACGGCGGGCCGCAGGCCGCCGGCCACCGGCTCGGCGCGCCAGCGGACCACGGCCTCGTAGAACTGGCGGAAGTAGGGCAGCTCGCGGGCCTCGCGCGGGGCCGCCATGGACCGCTCGTGGAGGAAGTAGTTCAGGGCCTCGTCGAACGACGCGTAGCCCAGGTGCTTGACGATGTGCGACGGCAGGAAGGTCCACGCCGTCGCCGGCATCTGCTTTCGCTTCACTGTGAGCATCCTACGCGTGTCGTGTGTGTCGTGTGTGTTGTGTGTGTCGTGTCGTGTGTGTCGTGTGTAGACCTCGTTGGGAAGCTCGGGATCGGAGACGACGACGGCCTCGTAGCGCCACCAGTCGGCCTGCTGGTAGTCCTCGCCGGGCTCCCACATGTAGATGCCATAGCTGCTGGTGAAAAAGACCTTGCCTGCATCACATGTGGAGCCAACATTTCACGATTGCACAGACAAATAGACATATAGTGTCAAACATATGCGTGTGTGTCATGTCATGTGTGTGTCGTGTGTGTGTCGTGTCGCGCGGTGGCCACCTTCTTCGTGCGCGTGGTCGATGGTGAACTGCTGCACGAGGCGGCGGAGGCCCTCTTCGTAGGGCGATGTGGGCGCGGGCGGGAAGAAGTCAGTGTGGGTGAGGAAGTGAGCGACCACGTCCTCGGCCGAGACCGAGAAGGCGCCGTCGCCCCAGTCCTGCTCGCCCTCCACGTCGCAATCCGTGAGCCCCGGGTCCCTCCAGCTCAGCGGCAGGAAGGCACAGCAGGTGGGGCAGAACATGAACACGTCGATACCCATCCTACTGGTTCTCTACATAAAGAATTTTTTTGAATTCAATCTTGATATATAAGAATATTATCATGATACGGCGAGAGCAAAGGGGGGGCACGTACGTGTAATGGAGGAAGAAGATCGAACAAAAAAGTTGTTACTCTAGACTTGGGAGGGGGTGTATGTGCTTCTCTGTGCGCCCGGCAGAGAGAAGCAGCCAATAGGAATAATCACCACTCGGTGGATAAGAGCGAAACTGTTAACTGTTTATCTTTCTATTTTTTTTTCCAAGTCTGTTTTCCATCCATTTCTCTAACCTTGATGACAGTGAAGGCAGGAGAACTTCTTGAAATAGGCAAAGACATTCTCCTGCACCCTGACCACACCTCTATTGGAGTTTCAGTGCTGTTCCTGGGCCTTCAGGTTCCTTGAAGGAATGTGGTCCATTGTTGGCAGTCTTTGGGTTCCATTCAGCACCAATCAGAAAGCCAAGTGTTAATGCAACATCACCAGTGCACACACACACACACACACTCACACACTCATGCTTACACACACACACACACACACACCACAGCACTTTCCCTGTCATGCTGTGGCATGTGGTGTACAGCACCATTCTTGCAGACTGTCATTCCTAGGAATATTCTGGCTGTCCTTATTTTGAGGTACAACAAAGGCACCCAAGTTACGGGTTCTTCAGGGGCGTGTGGTGTCCTCTTCATGGTGAAGGTGGCGGTGAGGCGCTCCATAGCGCCTGGGCCTGGGCGGGGCCGACTGCGAGGCCGATGCTGAGGGCGACGGCGAGCTGGAGGGCGAGCTGGAGGGCGAGGCCGAGGCCGATGGCGAACTGGTCGGTGACGGCGAGCTCGACGGCGAGCTGGAGGGCGAGCTGGAGGCTGAGGCCGAGGCCGATGGCGAACTGGTCGGCGAGCCGGTGGCAGAGGCTGAAGCCGATGGCGAACTGGTCGGCGAGCTGGTGGCAGAGGCTGAAGCCGATGGCGAACTGGTCGGCGATGGCGAGCTAGAGGGCGTGATGGTGGCTGAGGCCGAGGCCGATGGAGAACTGGTCGGCGAGCTGGTGGCAGAGGCTGAAGCCGATGGCGAACTGGTCGGCGATGGCGAACTGGTCGACGATGGCGAGCTAGAGGGCGTGATGGTGGCCGAGGCTGAAGCTGATGGCGAACTGGTTGGCGACGACGAGCTGCTGGGCGAAGCAGAGCTCGAGGGCGAGGGCGTGCCCGATGGAGAGGACGAGGGCGAACTGGAGGGTGTCGAGGACGGCGTGGGCGAGTTGGAGGGCGTCGAGGACGGCGTGGGTGAGTTGGAGGGCGTCGACGACGGCGAGGGCGAGTTGGAGGGCGTGGACGACGGTGTGGGCGAGTTGGAGGGCGTTGAAGACGGCGTGGGCGAGCTCGTAGGCGAGGGCATCAAGGCGCGGACCGACACGTTGTCGATGTACCACCAGCAGCATTCATGATGGGTGTCGAAGTAGAGCCCCGTGGTCGAGGTGGACGTGGCGACCACCAGGAACGAGTACCGCACGGGGCTGGGGATGAGTTCGGAGGTGAGGGTCAGCAGCGCGGTGTTGTCCCACCGGACGCGCATCAATTGGCCTACGCCATCGTTCCACAAATCGAATGAGACGACGTAGGTAACGCCGATCTGGGTGGGGATGAGCTGGTAGCTGGTCTTGGCACTGCCGGTGGGACCGGACCTGAATCGCTGCGCATTTATGGAGGAGAAGGACCCAGTGCCCGAGGCAAAGACCCACTGGGTGGAGCAGGTGAAGTCGCCGCACACGACCAGCTCGCCGTAGTTGACGGCGGGCGACGGCGATGGGGAGGGCGAATTCGTCGGCGTGTTGGAGGGCGTGGGCGAATTCGTCGGCGTGTTGGAGGGCGTGGCCGAATTCGACGGCGAGATGGAGGGCGTGGCCGAATTCGACGGCGTGTTGGAGGGCGTGGGCGAATTCGACGGCGAGTTGGAGGGCGTGGGCGAATTCGACGGCGAGATGGAGGGCGTGGGCGAATTCGACGGCGAGTTGGAGGGCGTGGGCGAATTCGACGGCGAGGACGTGGTCGACGGAGTGGCCGAGGGCGAGGCCGACGGAGTGGTCGACGGCGAAGCAGACGGGAGGAGCTGGGTCACCGACACGTTGTCGATGTACCAGTAGCCGTTGTCGTTCTGGGCCTCGAAGTAGAGCCCCGTGGACGCGGAGGCGGCCGTGACTGTGTAGGTGTACCTCACCGGGTTCGTGATTGTTTCCGTGGTGAGGGCCAGCAGCTCGGTGGTGTCCCACAGGACGCGCAGCCACTCGCCAGAGGCGTCGTTCCACAAATCGAACGAGAAGCTGTAGGTCACGCCGATCTCAGTGTCGATGAGCTGGGAAGTGGTGTTGACGCCGCTGGAACCGGAAACGAGCTGCCCCGAAGCGATGACGGTGTTGACGGGGTCACCAATGGTCCATCCGGTGGTACAGCTGAAGTCGCCACAGGAGACCAGCTCCGTTTGGACGCTGGCAAAGCCCAGGCCAATGGCCAGAAAGATGAGCACCCAAGTGAACCACGTCATGAGATGAGACCTCTTCTTCTCTCTTCACGCAGCGCTGCAAAGAGCCCGTCTTGGTCCGCCTTCAGCTCCTCCGCCCTTCGCCCTTCGTATGGATAAGGAAATCTGTTTGTACTTTAGGTATTGCTTGGGTGGTTGGTCCATTTGAAACAGTTTGGAAACGGATCTCAGGAAATAAATTCGCCAATTTCAATTGCAGTGAAGCAGGGTGAGCTGTCAGTAGGGGGAGCCGGCGCGGGGCGGGGGCAGGTCGGCCGGGTGGTAGGGCGGCGGCCCCACGTCGCGGTCGCGGTCGCGCGCGTCGCGGTCCCTCTCCCGATCCCGCTCGTGCCTCCCGCGCTCGTATCGCCTGTCGCCCTCGTGCAGCTGGCCTGTGGGAGCCCATACAACAACGGACCATCAGTAGCCGTGGAATGCCCAGGTTCATGGGACACCTCCACTACCGCATCATGGCGCGTCACCACCCCAGATCCTCTTCCATGTGCTGTGTCGTGTGTGTCGTGCGTGTCGTGTGGCATCGGGTGTGTACCATCGTAGTCGGGACGGTAGTCGGGCTCGTAGAGAGGCGGCGGACCAGTCTCGAACCGGGACTCGTACTCCCACTCGTGGTAGGCCTTCGGCGCCATCCTGTGACCCGGCAGACGCCCGCCTAGCAGGCCCCGCCCAAGCCCAAGTGTACACGCAACGTCACCTCTCCGCCAATTACACATTCCACACATGACACACACCACACACACCACACACACCACACACACCACACACACCACACACACACGCCACCGGGGGTCGGGGGCGGTGCCTTCGTAGTCAAGCGGATGGAAGTCGGCGGCGTCGTAGGGGGGCAGCGCCTCGAACGAGCGCACGTCGTGGGGTTCCCACTCCTGCGGGTAGCCCTTCGGACCCCGCCTGTGCCCCGGCAGCCGGCCCCTGCGTCAGGGTTAGCCGGGCAGCACACGCACCACCGCACACGACGCACACGACACAGGCGCCACCGCAAACGCGCGGGAAGAAGTGAATACCGAGGTTTGAAGGGCGGAGGTGAGAAGGGCGGGTAGGCGTGAGGCGGAGGGATGCCACCACGCCCGCCGTCTCGGCCGCTGCCGCCGCTGATGCCGATGCCGCCGCCGCGGTCGGTCCACTCGCGCGAGACGCCGCCGCCGCGATCCCAGTCTCGTGGTCCTCCTCGCGGCGGAGGCAGCGGCGCCGGCGCCACGTCGCTCCACTCGCGGCCTCGGCCGCCGGCGTCGCTCCACTCGGCGCTGCGGCTCTTAAGAGGCGCCATGCGACCGCCGCCAGCCAGCGGGGGCGGCGGCAGCGGCTCACGCTCGCGCGGAGGCGGATTCCAGGCCGACGACGACGACGAGGGCTCCCCTCGGCCGCCACTTACGCTCAGGCCGCCGCCGCCGCCACCGCCGCGTTCAGTGTCGCCACGCTTGCTCGAGCCCGGGATGTACCACTCCTCGGGCGACGGCACAAAGTAGCGATGTGGCGGCGTGCCTTCGCGTCGTCGGTCCGAAGACGACGAAGAAGAAGAGGGAGACGAAGAAGCGAGCGATGACGACGAAGATGACGACGAAACGGGTGGCACGGCCGAGGCAGAAGGAGGAGGAGGCGAGGGCATGGTTGCGGTGGGCATGGAGGTGGTCGAGGGGCTGAGGTCCTTGCCGGCCGGAGCCGCGGGCACCGCCTTGGCCGGCGCGGGCGTAGTCGACGTATCGACGACGTCGAGCTTCTCGCGCTTCCTTCGGTGATGATGGGCGCCGGCATCGGAGGCCTCCGCGACCTGCGCGCCGGCTGACGCAGACGAGGCGCCGGGCAGACGGTCGTCGGCGGCGGCCTTGCGCTTCTGCGGACGCGCCGAGGAGAGGGCCAGGTTGGAGGGCAGCGGCGGTGTCCCTGTTGACACGGAGGGCGTCCCCGCCGGCAACTCCGCAGCGACAGGTGTCGACACTGCTGACGCCGACGTTGATGAAGACACAGTCGGCACTGGCGCAGCCGGCGCCGGCGCCGTTGCTGTGGCGGGCGGTGGGTGGCGCTTGGGCGGCGCTCCGCTGCCGCGCGCCGCCAGCTCCCTTTCTCGCTCCCTCTCCCTCTCCTTTGTGGTATCGCGCTCGCGTTCGCGCTGGTCCTTGTCTCGGTCGGCAGCGGCCGAGGAGGCGGCGGACGCGGGCGGAGCACCGACGGGCTGCGACGGCGGCGGAGGCGAAGTCGGCGGGACGGAGCCGCGGCCCTTGCTGCCGCTGCGGAGTGTGGGCGAGAAGGGCGGCGGCACTGTGGGCGACGAGAACTCAGGCCCGGGGAAGGTGCGCGCCGTGCGGAAGTAGTCCACCTTGAGCTTACCTGCGCACACACACACGACACGCTTGAGGGCCGTGGCAGACGGAAGCAGGGCCAGTGAGGGGAGGGGTGGGTACAGCTGCCGATGCGGACGCCCTGCATCATGTCGAGCGCCAGCTGGGCCTCCTCGGGCGCCGAGAAGGTGATCGAGGCGCACTGCTTCGACGCGTGAATGGCGACCGACTTCACCATGCCCCAGTCGTAGCACGCCTGCCACAATCGCCTGTCGTGTCGTGTCGTTGGTCGTGTCGTGTCGTGTCGTGTCGTGTAGTGTCGTGTCAGCTACTGGGGGCGAGACACAACGGAGACGTGGGAGGTTACCTCTCGGTCATGGTGTCGTCGAGACCACCGATCCAGAGCACCTTGCCGAACTCCTGTCGGCCGAAACGGATCTCCAGCGGCAGGCAGCCGAGGAAGACCCCGTTCATGTGTGTCAGCGCGTCCACCGCCTCGTACACCGTCTATTGCACGTTTTGTTACACCACACACGACACACACATACCACACACACGACACACACCACGACACACACACACGCCAGAAAACGACGTAAGCACTCCACAACGCAGTTGCAACCCGTTCAGCTGACGTGCGAGAAGGTGAGTCCCACCTGGAAGTCGACAAAGCCCTGCTGGCGGCCGACGTTGATGTGCGGGCGGTCCGTGAGGGTGCCGAAGGCGCCGAACACGGCCTCGAGCGTGGCCGACGTCACCACCGTGTCGTCGATCGACCCCACCCACAGATGGCGGCTCGACTTGTGCCCTGCGTGTGTCGACAGGAAAAGGTTAGGTTTTAGCTTTCTGGGTTGGGCGGGCGGGTGGGAGAGGAGCGGGGTGGTGTACCGGCGGTGACGGGCAGAGCGAGGGTCTTGGGCTCCTCGTAGCGGATCTTGACGGCGCTCCAGTCGGGCTCGCCCTTCTCCACGTGGGGTCCGAGCGTGTTGATCACCGGCCTGGTGCGGCGGTTAGCGACGTGTGTCGTGTCGTGTCGTTGGTCGTGTCGTGTCGTTGGTCGTGTCGTGTCGTTGGTCGTGTCGTGTCGTTGGTCGTGTCGTTGGTCGTTGGTCGTGTGCCGTGTTCGTACCGGAGGTGCTTACGGAGGTCCTTCTCCACCTCCTCCTTGGCCTCTTGCGCATCGCGTATGTGGGTGAAGAACACGAAGAGCGCATCTGTGGGGACGAGAGTCGTAAGGCCACAAGCGTGCGTGAGATTGGGTGCGTGGGTGGGGTTACCTTCGGCGGCGAAGAGGTGCTCGTTGACGTAGGTGACGCTGCCAAAGGGGGAGAAGAGCTTGATGAGGCTGTCGTGGAGCTCGCGCATGTCGACGTCACCGGTACTCGCGCTGCCTCCCGATCTCCTGCCGCTGCGGCTGCCCTCGCGTCGGCTGCCACTGGTGCTGGTGCTGCTCTCTTCGCGGCTGCTGCTCGAATCGGCCGGCCGTCGGTCGAGGTGGGCAGTCGCCGCCTTCAGCCCTTCCACAACCACGATCCTGCATGTTTGCATCGATCCGACGTGTAAGCAGATGCGGCGATGAAAGAAGGAGGAGCGGCAGGCATATACCTGGAGGGCAAGGATTTGAACTCCTGTTGTGTTTTATGTTCTTGAAGGAGGGCCTGTGCAGAGGAGGGAAGATTGGATGAGGAAAAAAAGAGAATCCGGGGGGGGCGTTCAATCTCAAAATCGCGAGCATGTGGCAGCAAAAAGAACAACAATCACTCATGCAAGCTAAGGTGGACGGAACCTCAAAGAGAAACTCATCCTCATCCTCCATGGCCGTTCAATGTGTTGCGTTCCTCTTTTTGTCTTTTTATTATTATTTTTTTCCACAACATTACTTTTTGTGCCCCAATGGGAAAAGAGAAAATGGTACTGGAAATTGAAGGAAATTGGCGTTTATTGTTGCGACGAGTTGCGGGCGCAGCTTGTCCTGAGCCGGGTGCGCGGCCAAGAGTCTGGTCCGCGAGGAGGTGCACGCCCACCTGATGGTGGTGGTCCCCACACGCGCACACACGCAAGTGAAGCGAGTCGCGAAGAGAGAAGAAAAGAATGGAAGAGAGAGAGAGAGAGAGAGAGAGGGAGAGGTCATGAATCAGGCCGGACCAACACGTCAGCATTGGAATGCATCACTCGTGAGCAGAGGCGCCACACATCAGGGGGCCGTGAATGGTCTCAATTGCGAATCCACCAAACTCGGGGGAAAGCGCAAGGCGTTATGGGGCATCACCTCCATGACCGAGAGAAAGAAGAGAGAAAGAGGAGATAGGGCAGAGAAGAGAGAGGAGGAAGTACAACGGCCGGTGGCGACCAGTAGCAGTCGAGCAGCAGAGGCAGTAGCACGCGAGCACCAAGAGAGAGCCAGAGAGAGACGGCGATAATATGCAGTGATACACAAAGATCACGCGCGTTATGTGTGGTGACACTAATGACAAAAAATGATAATAATAAATTATAAGCGCCATCATGCACACCGCAGGAATGAATGAACTGACCAACCAAAACGAATTGGGTGTGTCAGGCGCGCGCAAAACGAAAACACGAGAGAGGGGAGATGAACCATCTTGACCTGCAGACGACGACCGAACAGAGGCGCGCCGAGAGAGGTCGAAGAAGAGCCCACACACGAGGGGAGAGACGAAAAGATCGATCGCCGGCGAAAGACAGCGCGACGACGAGCCTCGAGGATTTGGAGGCGCCGTACGAGCACCGTTGGGTGGGTTCGGTCGAAGGAACGACGACGGTGACCAGTCCGAGAGATCTGAATACGAACGGGAGGAACGAGCACGGGGGGTGGACGTGTGGCGACGAAGGAGTAGAGGAGGAAGAGCGAAGAGCGGAAGAAGAAGAAGGAGACGTAATGGCGGAGGTGGCGAACGAGACGTGGAAGAATGGATATATAGATGACGGTCGTGCATCAACGGATAATAACTGGTATGCGGAAGATATAGAAGAGTGGGATCGATAGATGAGATGGGAAAATAACGAGCGGGGGATGACGTAGGGATGGTAATGGGGTCGACTGTAAGCTGCTCGACTCGAAGCGCAGATTCGGAAACGCGAGTTCAGCTGTGATTGATAGCTAGCTATGTCGCACGACGACGAAACGATCGCGTGAAGCAATGTGGGGGGGCGGAAGAGAAGGAGAGGTGATATTCGAATAGAGATTGGGTAGCGTATGGGATCGCGAGATCTCGAAGGCGCGCTAAGTGCGGCTCGGGGATAGCTGAAGAGTTTCTGCGCGTTGCTGACTGAAGGACGAAGAGGGAGAAGAAGAAACGAGGAGAAGACGGAACGGAGGATGAGAAGGAAAAGAGGAGAGAAAAGGGAAGCGAAAGGGAGAGTAGGAGAAGGATGGAGTGTGCGTTGTCCAACGGGGCGGTGGTCTCTCTTTCTATTTCTGCACAACGTGAAGTGGATGGTTAAGAACGGCTCAGCTGAAGGCAAAGAGGGAGGAAAGGTGTACCTTTCGCTGTCGCCCATGGTCGAGTCCGATCGATCGCGTCTAGGATGTCCTATTTGGCCTACACCCCCAGACCCGAACCGGTAGAATTGCTTGCGCCACACTCTTCTCTCCCTCCAATCCAAGGCCTTCTCTAATCTCTAACTCGCGTCTCGATCGAGGGGAGGATGCGCAAAGGGGTGGTGGGGCGTGCGAATTGGGCCGCGAGACGGACGTGGTCGGGTGAACGGGGGGCGAGAGTGGTGCACGGTGGTGGTCCCCAAGAGCGGTGCGAGCGAAACCCTAGGAGTGCGCGGAGCCGAAGGAAAGGGAACGAGCGAGCGGAGCGATGGTGGGTCGGTGAAGGGAACGTGCGAGATAAAGGAGCTGGCACGCTGGCGGGACCCGCTGAGGCGAGGTGGCTTGAACACGATGTCGCGTTCGGGAGGGAGTGACTGCGCGGGACCTAGAGATGCTGCGAAGAGGGGGAACGATGGCGTGGAGAACCGAACGGATGGGAATGGATGGGAACCCGATGCGAGTCCATGGACGCTGGAGCCTTCGAAAGATGCCAACCTGGAGATCGCGAGCCGGGGTCGATGGGCCTAGATGGGAATGTACGGAACACGGACCGAGCTGCTCTGAGAATCGCGGACGTGTGATCGATACGTATCTGCTGAAAATCTGGCCAGGCCGTTGGATGGAGTCGAGCTGCGGATGGACGCGGGATGCTTCGCGTGCGTATATGCCGGGAGTAGGGACTGGAGACGCGAAACAGAGCTGCTGATCTGTAGCGCGAGACGAAAGGGAGAGATGGCAGGGGACTTCTCGACGCGGTGTAGCAGTAGAGGCGGTTAGGTGATCGACGAGACTGTCTGCTCAAGGCGAACCTTGCGATCAGCCCTCTCCTATCAAACGCGCGAACGGCTGAAATCTGGGATGACCCGAGATCGAGGACCTCCAATCGGATCGAGATGACTACCGTCTGAGGCTTGTCCTGTGTCGGGGTCGCGTCGTGTCGTGTGGTGGGGCAGGGAGGGGACGGGCTCGTTCAGTTACACGAAGATGGGCGAAGAGGTTGGGGAAGGGGAGTCGTTTGGCTGCTGTCGTCGCCCGTTCATCATCTTGTCTGAGGCCATTATCGAGCTTCTGTTGAATGATCAACTATTAGCCCAGCTCATTCGAGGAATTGTGGAGAGCGTGATGTTTGGTGAAATCGGCAGAGGTGAATTATTACCTCTTGATGCTATCGGTGTAGATTACCGCAGGTTGGTTGGGTTGTTGCTTGTTGCTTGGTTGTTGTAGGTTGTGATGCTGGTCTGCTGGCCAGAAGTCTTCTTTGGCGGTTGGAAAGGTGCGATTTTTCTGCGAGTCTTTTCGCCTCTGATTGGCCCGACTTGTGTGCGTCGACAGTGGGAGATTGGGATCTCGCAATAAAAACTGCTCGCTTTTCAAAGTCAGCACAGAAATACTAAAATTCCATACATTCCCAACATTCGGGGGGACCTCTCTGGTTCGAACCCCGTCACAACGACCAAAATTCGCTATTTTTTTTCAAGCCGCACCCGAATTTGGCCCGCGTGGCGGTTGGAAAGTCTTTCTTATGGTTACTCTACAGTAACTCCGCGCAGTAACACGTCCGGTTGCGTGGGAGCACGGTGTGTCTAGCACGGATGCGATATGGCCATCCCTGCCCAAACTTGGACCGAAGGTTGGGACACCTGTGCGATCCATAAGATGCCGGGCACTTCAGCCTCTGTGCTCAGGTGGGTTAATGATATCCGACCTTGTAAGTGAGAACTTATTGACTTAAAAAAGGTGCTCTCCGCCTACAAAGGTCCTGTTTTGTGTCCTTTCTGGTGGTGTCATGGTAGCCTGTGGCCGACTCCGGTCGAGTCCAGGCGACGAGCACTCCGTTGTTCCCTCGCAGCTCACACTCACGCAGTACTCAGGCAGAACGGGGGTGGCAGAAGAAGGAGAAGAAGAGGGAGTGTAGCGAAGATGCCAGCTGGCCGTGTGCAGCCGGTCTGGGCGTTGCGGCGCTGAATCCGCCTCGCTCCATCGGCGTTGCGGCGTTTGGTGACCCATTTTTACCCACCCGGCTGGGTCGCGGTCATGGTCGGCCGGAGGGCAGGAACGAGGGGACATCGACATGGAAGATGTTGCTGGCGGCGGTGGCACTCGCCCGCTGCCGCGGGGTCCGCCGCTCGACGATGATGCGGCGAAGGAGGTGGAGATCGATGGCGATGACATCGATGACTGCGAGGTCGGGGCCGATGCTCTACGAGCTGCGGGCAGAGGGGTGGCGGAGGGCAAAGCGAAAGAGGGAGAGGCGGATGAGGGAAAGAAGATCGGAGCGATGTGGGTGTAGTGCATCGAGTTCTCGGAGCGCTTGCCCAGCCGACGCGATCCCACGAAGGGAAAAGTGCGCTTGACCAGCTTGCCGAACACGCTCCGGTTGGCCATCTCGAGCGCGCGCTGCTCGCAGAAGGCAGCGTACTCGTGGTATACCGCGGCCTTGGACACCGAGCCATCTGGACGCCGCGCATAGCTGGCCCTGAGCCTGGACGATGATGCCATCACCATCACCACCCGAACCGGAGAAGAAAAGAGGAAAATAAGAAATCGAGTAAGTACACCACCTTCATCTGGTATCTGGTGTCTGCTATGCGTGCCCCGCGGATGCCATGATGGCCATCGCGCAGATAGCGATGCCATCCCCCAATATCATGAAATCAATCATGTACATCACCGCGTCCAATAAATCAAATCGATTGCATCAGCCATGGATTGGGGGTCGTGGTTTGGTGGATGCCACATGTAAATCGTGTGCCGAGGGTGGTGGGATGATGGCTCGGCATCACCCCGATGGCGACGGTGGCGATGATGATTGCATCAATCAATCCGGGGGGCGGTGGGGAGGGTAGCACAACGTACCACTCGACGACGATGGGCTGGGCATCGTCCTTGCCAGTGACGAATCGAGTGACCGGCGGGATCTGGTCCGTCATCCGTTCCAAGGTGCTCGCACTCAACTAACAACCCACCAACCAACTGAGCAAGCAGCCAAATGGCTCGCTGTTAAGTTGAAATTCCTCGTCGGGAAGGCCGATCTGGCGAGCTAATCTTGGCTCGGTGTGTGGTTGGTCTAACTGGGCTCAACTGTGGCAGGAGGCCAAATTCGATGGAACTTTCCCCAATCAACCAAGAAGAAGCCTGAACTTGCCCCTGAAATAGACCCACTTTTCTCCATTTGTTGGCCTGGTATGTAACGGCGGCCTGCGCCGTTCTTTTTCGAATCCAGGCCAGGTGGTGGTGCCGCCTTTTAGATAGGCGTTGTGACTCTGCTACGCTGAAGCCAGGCACTCCGTCACCAGCCAACGAAAATAATTGTGTATGATTGTGCGGTCCATGGGCGGACACTCGATCCCGCTCCCCTGCAACGCTCTACAACGATGATGATGGAGCACAGAGTACCATTCATGAGTGGTGCATGGGGGGGAAGGAAATCGAAGAGCAAAGAACGAAGAAGAGCGGAGACAGAGAGAAAGAGATGGCTTACCTGAGCGTGTGGGCACAGCTGTACTCCTTGGCCCGGAACGGCAGCGCGCTGCCCTGGAAGTATGACCGCAGCGATACCAGCGCCGGACACCTCCTTTCCTCCTCTACTCCATCTTCGTCTTCATTTTCCGTTCTCCTTTCCTTCTTCGTCCCCCGCCGCGTCTTCTTCTCTTTCTTTGTTCGTTTTTGCTTGCTCTTCGCTTTCTTCTTCTCTTCGTTCTTCTCGCCCTGGCGTCCGGTTCGCTTCGTGTTGTCGACAGCGCGCATGAGGCGTCGCTGCCACTCGTCGTAGGGGAGGCCCTCGAGTTCGCCCTCGTGGCCGAAGCTCAGTAGGTGGTCCACCACCTCGCCCCACAGCAGGAAGCTCCCCCGCCGCGCGTGGTTGTAGTTCACGAAGTGGTACGTCGCCACCGCGCCAGCGCCATCGCCATCGTCGGCCTCGCCGCTCAGGCCCTGCTGGCGGAGGCTGAGGTGCACAATGGCGCGAACGACAAAGTCCACCGGGGCGAGGTTCATGCCCGTGGTAGAGGAGTCCTTCTCCGCCGAGGGCAGTGGGTAGGCTCCCAGCTGAAACACGCCGCACAGGAACCTGGTGTCATCGTCGTTGTTAAGCACGACACGACACACGACACACGACACACGACACACGACACACGACACACGACACACAAGGAGAGGGTACAGGAAGACAAAGTCATCGGTGTTGGAGTGGCCGGTGCGTGAGTGGCCGGATATGGTGCCCGGGCGGTAGACGCGCGCTCGAAGGCCGCGGTCCGCTGCCGCTCGCACCAACCGCTCTGCCACCCACTTGCTCTGCCTGCACTCCAGCCTTAGCTGCATGCGTGTGTCGTGTCGTTGGTCGTGTCGTGTCGTTGGTCGTGTCGTTGGTCGTGTCGTTGGTCGTGTCGTGTCTGATGATTACAGTACCCATAGCCGGTGAGGTGGTGAGGGTCGATGGTGGCGAGGTCGACATCCTCGGGGTGCGCCACCGCGTCGGGGTTTGACAGGACACTCATCGTCGACACGTAATGGAAGGCGACCCCGGCGTCCGACGTGCGCTGCCGGCCGGCGCACGCCAGCCGCAGCATCTCGAGCGTGCCGTCCACGTTGCTCGACTTGAGCGCCTGGTAGGAGTGCACGCCTGCGACGTGCCACGTCAGCTTGGGCGGCGGTGGTGGTCAAAGCGAAAGCGACGGGGCTTGACGCGGGCTTACCGTTGACCCAGGCGGCGCAGTGGTATATGGCGTCGAGTTCGTTCGTGAGTCGGTCGTAGACGGCCGGCGGCAAGCCTAGCCGAGGCTTGCACAGATCGCCCGCCAGCTGCAGTACGCCACGACGCGCACGACACACGCACGGCACGGCACACGGCACACACGGCACACACGACACACGACAGTTGGTTTTGTGTCATCTGTGCAGCGCTGCGCTGCAGAACAGACGTACGGGAGCGATCCCCGCTGGCGTGGAGTCGTCCCACAGGTCGTAGAAGCGCAAGGCGGCGTCGACGCGCAGTGCCGCCTCCTCGTCGCTGCTGGCCCTCACCAAGCAGTACACCTGGTAACAGCGAATTAAATTAAATTAAAGTACATAATAATTGAAGGCTGAACAATGAAATCAATGCAAATAGAAATATATCAATAAATAAATAATAGATAAATACATAAATAAATGTAGGTACCAGAATGTCGTCTTCTTGCTCGAGCAGTTCGGCGAGGAGGAAAGCCCCAAGGAAGCCCGTGGCGCCGGTGAGCAGCACCCGCTTGGGAGACGAGGCGGGCTTCCCAGAAGCCAGCGGCCCGGATGATGGCGAAAAGGGTACGATGTCATCGGGGAGCGTGGTCTCGGCGTCCCAGTCGATGGTGGTGGTGGTGGAGGACGATGACGACGCCGGGACTGCGAGAGAAGACGCCGATGAAGTGGAGGCCGTCTTCGATGAAGGCGAAGGCGAGTGCGACTGCAGGAATCGGATGACGTCATCCAACCGGGCGCTCTCGCCATAGAGCATCGCCGCCGGCACTTCGACTCCGAACTTGTCCTTCACCGCCGACAGCAGACGCACGGCTGCACCGTTCACCACCGACAGTGCACACGCCACACACGCCACACATCGCACCGCACACGCCGCACACATCAGCGGGGGTGAACTGTGAAGGCTTGGGACAGTGATGGTGATGTACGTGCCTGACAGAGAGTCGCCGCCGATCTGGAAGAAGCTCTTTTTCTTGAGACTCGCAGCGGCGCTGGTGACGCCGCCATGCGACGGGCGGCCGCCCGCGTCGTCGTCGCCCTGGGAGAGCACGCGGTCGACCACTTCGATGAACCGGGCTTCGGCGTCGAGCCGGTCGCAGAGGGCGGTGAGGGCCGGGCGGTAGTCGCGCTGCACGGCGTGTCGCTTGAGCTTCTGGGTGGACGTGAGGCGGCCGTTGGCGTCGGTGAACGGCTCGGGCTCGAGCAGCAGGCCCTTGGGCACCTCGTAGGGCTGCAGCTGCGCGTTCATCCCGAGAACGGCGAACTCGTACAGAAGGTGGTCGACCACCAGCGGGTTCTGGCACAGCAGCCGGGGGTCCGCCAGCTCCTCGGCTGACTGAAACAGTGTGTTGTGTGTGTGTGTGTGTTGTGTGTGTGTGTGTGTTGTGTGTGTGTGTGTGTGTGTGTGTGTGTGTGTGTGTGTGTGTGTGAACAAGAAGAGCACAAAAAAAGCATGGTGAGCTGTGCGTCTCAAAGCCGTACCCAGGCCCACGTTTTCTGTTTTGGCCCACTCGAGCAGAACGTCAAGGTTGGGCACCACAACGGCCACCAAATACGACCTAAGGTGAAGAAGAGAAAGAGTCAGAGCGTCACGGGTTGGGAGTTGCTGGGAGTTTAAGGAGGCGCACACACCGCAGAGAGTCGCCCCACACGAAGAGCTGGCGACGTAGCGGCTGGCCCCAAACACACCTTCGAGCCGCTCGGGGCTGTGCCGAAAGGGGGGGGGAGACCGAAGGGCAGCGGGTGGGGTGGAGTGAGAAGTTTGCCACCACATTTGCTCGGTGACTTGATGCGTACGCGATGAACTCGCCCTGGGCGAGCTTGAACATGTGCTTCTTGCGATCGATGATGACCATCTGCTTGCCCCGCTGTTCGCCCACGTCGCCCGTGTGGAACCACCCCTCGGCATCGAAGCTGTCATCCGATCTGCGCGCGCGCATAGGAGTTAAAAGTTAGGTAGGTTATGCTCAACAGAAAGAACGAAAGCGAAAGGGGAAAGAGCGAAGTTGGTACTTTTGCTTCCAGTAGCCCAGGGCCATCGCGGGCGAGCGCACGCAGATCTCGCCCCGCGGGTAGGGGGAGTCAGTGATGCGATACCCGAGCTCTTCAGCGTCGATCAGCTTCACCTCTGTGCGAGAGCAAAGAATGGAGGGTCAGGAGCAGCGGCTGGATGGGTGGGTGGAAGGCCAAAGGGACGACGTGCCCACGGAGCCGGTCACGTTTCCCTCGGTCATGATGCCGGCAGTCTCAGTGGTGCCGTACCCGTTGAAGACCATACACTGAAAGCACCTGCCACCAACCACCCAGTAAGCCGACCATCCGTGCGTGTCGTGCCTCGTGTGTGTGTGTGCGTGTGTGTGTGTGTGTGTGAGTGCGTGTGTGGTGTGTGTGTGTGTGACTGTGGTGTTGCGTGGCGTACTTGTCCAGAAATTGGAGAACGGAGGGTGAGGTCGGTGCGCCGCCGGTCACTAGAACCGCGACCCGGCCGCCGAGCAGCTTCGAGAACTGCCGCAGCACGAGCCTCTCCACCTCGGCCTCCGTGTCGCCTTCGTCCTCCACCGGCGTCAGATATCGCGCATAGACGCCCTCCTCTTCTTCGCCTCCCTCTCCGCCTTTTCCCGCCTCTTCTTCGCCCGTTGTCTCGGGCTCGTCTGTTGGCTGCAGTGACGCCAGCTGGCGCTGTCGGAGGCGAGACAGGGCCGCGGCGAGCGCCTTCTTGTATTCGTTGTGGATGGCGTTGAAGAGCCGCGGCGTCGACGACAGCACCGTAGGCCGGAGGATCGCCAAGTCCTCGAACATCACATCTCCAATCTGTCGTGTGCGTGTCGTGTGTGTCGTGTGTGTCGTGTGCGTCGTGTGCGTGTCGTGTGTCGTATGTCGTGTCGTGTGTGTCGTGTGGCGAGTGAGCAGGTGGTGAAGGGAAGAAAAATGGGTGGGGTGAAGGCGTACGCCACTCGCCAGCCCGATCCGTCCACCGAACTGGATGGCCACCATCACCGACCGTCGCGGCGACGTGTGGGCCAGAGGAGCAAACGAGTAACCCACCAGCGGCCGCAGACTCGCTGCGGTGGTGGGCGAAGAAGTGGTTAGAAGAGAGGGGGGGTTCATCACATGGTGCCTGCAGAGGTTGTGGAACGGCGCAACACAAGAGCGGTGCAGTCAGCGCTTACAGTGGCTCTGGGATATGGAGTGACGCCAGCCGCCGTCACTGTGCATCACCCCTGGTGAACAAAGGCCAACTTCAGGTTAGCTGGGCGACGGGAATTGCTGCGCATGCGATGATGATGATGCCGATGATGCTGATAGTGATGGTACCCTTGGGCTGGCCGGTGCTCCCGCTGGTGTAGATGATCGAGAAGAGGTCCATGGGCTCGGTGAACACGATGTTGTACTGGTCGCCCTCGTACTGCAGCTCTCCCGAGTCGTAGCGCTCCTTGCCCTCCGCCTCGAGGTCCGACATTCGCAGTAGCGCCACGCCCTCAGCCGAACCCTGCTTGACGCCAGATATTAACGCTAATATTAATTGCCATAATATATATATATATATAAATAATAGGTCCTACCAGCAAATGCGTGTCGATTGGCGAAGGGTCCATTTGAATGACGACCGCGAGCGCCGGACATTCCTTTCGGAGCTCCAGGAACCGGTGGACGTACTTGGCCTCGCACACCACCACCTTGGCTGCAGTTGATCCGAGGCACACCACAAAACGCGTGGCACGCACATGCACCACCGCACGCACCGCCGCACACGCACCGCCGCACACCATTGCACACTCTCGCGGGTGAGCTGACACTGCGAGAAAGGGGCTTCGGGTTGGTTGTGAGAAAGGGGGGGCGGACCGCCTGTTTCCTGCAGGATCTGCTTGATCGCGGCGTCGTCGAAGGCGACGTGCACGGGAATGGTCACGATCGATTTGAAGATGGCCGCGTAGTCGGCCACGAACCACTCCACGCGATTTCCGCCGCAGATGATCATCATCTCCCTCTGTCGACAACGCCATGTGAGCACGACACGCACGCACGCACGCACGCACACACGACACGACACGCACATACGACCGAGCAAAACTGTAGAGGAGGCCGTACAGGCTGGATGAGACGAAGCAGGGCGGCGCCGAAGTGGAGGGCGCGATGGTGGACCTCCGCGTAGGTGGTCCAGGTGAATCGGTTGGCCAGCTGGGTCGGTCTGCCGTCGTCGTCCCGAGCCAGCACCTGCCTGTGCCCCAGCAGCGGCCGGCCAGCGAACCCTTCGAACGCTCGCCTGACCATGGAGCGAGAACACATGTGCTCAATCATCATTGACAACAGCCTTTCGCCATAGAAATATATGAATATATTCTGAATGTTACCTGAGGCATTGGGCAATGCAGCCGCCTTTCAATGTACACCGCTCGATGGAGTATTGGTGCTCTACGCGCCATTATGCAAATTATTAATAGTAATAAAACAACAGCATTTTTTACAATGTAAGAATTCAATAATAATATAATATTATTATAAATTGAACACCAAAAGAAGATAAAGGAATGGTGGGGGGACCTGTTTCGCGGGAGAAGGGGTGGTCGTGGAGGGTGCGGTCGAAGCGGGACTCGTAGCAGGAGGCGCACACGTCAAAGTCGGCGCACTCGAGGCAGTGGTACCGCACGCAACCGCCGTGGCCAGGCCCGTCCGCGGCGGCGGCGGCGGCCTCTGCGACGGCGAACTGCAGCTGGTCTGGCGTCAGCTCGTCCCCAGCCTGGGGGATGATCTTCGAACACACGTCGCACCCGACCAGGCTGCGGCCGGCGTAGGCCGTCGACGGCGGCGGCAGAGCAGCACCATCACCCGATTCGGATGCAGCAGAGTTCTTGAAAGGGATGAAGCGCCCCAGCAGCTTCTTCATCTCCCCTAGTTAGACGTCAATAAGATAATAGAGCAATAAAACAAAACTTGAGCGAAGTGGTGTCGGGAAAACATATTTTCTCTTCATTTCTTGAATCAAAGATTACCTAAAAGAACGAAAACGACAGACGGCACACGACGTCGGCCACGGCACCATCGCACCATGTTTATCCACAGTATATTCATCATCAAACCGGCCGACCAGAATATTCTCTACAGTACTCCCCCCGCACTTACCCTACATTTTTCCGTCCGCCTGCCTCTTCCGTGGATTATTTACAAATAAAAAAATAGATAATAATACTATTTCTGTTATTAATATGTGACGGGGCGCAGGCCGACACTTTGTGGCGGAGGCCAACAGCGAGGAGGCGGACGAGTGGCAGGAAGCCCTCTACAACGCCACGGCCGTCACATGGACCCAGCTCAAGCCCGAGGAGCACCTCATTGCCGTCGTCCAGTACCGACCTCTCCTCCCGCCCTTGTCCGTTGGTGAGCTTTCGCTCTGACCGTGTGTGCGTGTGCGGTGGTGCGTGTGCGTGTGCGGCCGGGACTCAACAGCAACAAGTTAGTGGTGTATACGCTCGTGGGCGAGGTCCTCATATTCGTCGCCGGCCAGGAGAACAACGCTGACGAACTCGGCCGTACGTGTGCTATGTGCGTGTGCGTGTGCGTATGTGTGTAGCTGAAATTGTGACAACGACACACGACAGTGTCGGATGTGCTGCAGGCGATTGTGAACGTGTTGAACGAGCTGGGCAAGAAGAAGGGCAAGCTGGTCACCGAGGAAGGCATCCTCTCGCAGTACGCCAAGGTGTGCATGTCCCTCAATTCCATCGTCCAAGCCGTACGTCTCTCCTCCCCTCCTATTCGCGCGTGTGCGTGTGCGTGTGCCGTGGTGCGTGTGTGCGTGTGCGTGTGCGTGTCGTGCTCACATTCATGGGGCGCAGAATGGAGTGGTGAACCTGCTGGATGTGGAGGAGATCCGAGGGACGGTCAACCTGAAGCCCGAGGAGGTGCGCGCCAAGAAGCTGCAGCGGGAGCAGAAGGAGCTCAAAAAGCTGCCCAGGCCGCCGCCTCCGGCCTTCCCGCTACTCGACTGCTTCGAGAAGCAGAACGCCGCAGCCGCCGCGGCCAAGTCCCAGCCCGAGCCCTGACGCGCCAGAGCACTCACCGAGCGGGTCCAAGGAAGGAATGTGTGGAATGAATGTAGCAGATGATTGTTTTTATGAAAGGAGCGCGTCAAATGTCGATGTCGTCATTGTCATCATCGTCGTCCTCGACGTCATCTTCGGAAGAACCGAGCTCGGGCGACGGCGACAGACCGGCGAACAGTGACTGGAAGGAAGGAGTCGGACCCATTCCTGCCACCGTCGCCTTCTTCTTCACCATCTTCGACGTCGTCGTCTTCGTCGACTTCTGGCAGGGGCTCGCCGAGTCGTTGTTGGCTCGGCTGCTGCGGCGGTTGGGGCGGTGGTTGAGGCGGTGGCGGGGAGGCGGAGGAGGAGGGCGGGTTGATGTCGGCGGCCTGGGAGGAGTAGGTGAAGGGCGTGAGCTGCGAGTGGTCGAGGAGGGTCGACGGCCAGGGCCAGTCGCCCTCGTTGTCGCGCCGCTTCTCGGCCTCCTCAGCCTCCTCGTCGTCTCGCTTCAGCATGATCTCCAGCTCCTCGTCGACTTCGATATCGAGGTCCTCATTCACTTCAGCGGCTTCGATGGTCTTCTCGTCGCCTTTCTTGCCGTCATCGCTCAGCTGTTGGTTCTTGCTCGCCGTAATTCGAGTGTGCGGCGTGTCCCTTCGCCTCACTTTCTTCGTTTTCGTTTTCGCTATTCGCACTTCCTCGTAGCCCCGCTTTCTCGTTGGCTCCTCCCTTACATTCGCTTCGTCGTCTTCGCTCTTTCCGTCCTTTGCGTTCCCCTTTCGCGCTTCGTTCTTTTTTCGCTCTTCGTTCTTCTTCGCCGCGTGGAGATGGGCCGGCGGCGGGAGAGGCTCCTCGGGCTGCGAGAACGGCGTGTGGATGTCCCTGAGCGGCGTGCCCCCGCCGCTGCTTCCGCCATCGCCGCGACCGGGCGAGTCCACCGGGCGAATGGGCGACACTGCACTCGCCAGCGACGCCAGAGTCGTCGCGAGCGATGCCGGCGGCGAGGGCGACAACTCGAGTGGCTGCGGCTGCGGCGGCGGCTGCAGCGGCGAAGTCGACGGCGGTGTAGACGACGAGCAGAGGAACGACGGCAAGACCGAGTGCTGCTGGGCCGCAGCCGCGGAGGCGGACGGAGGTGACGGCGAGCGACGATGGCGCGTGAGCGACGCCGGCGAGGCGATGAGCGGCGGGGAGTAGGACACGGAGGCCGAGCAGAGGATGAGGGACGACGACTCGTCGCTGTGGCTCTCGCGGCCTTTCGCAGCCTTGTCGCGCGACGCCGCGAACGTGGAGGCCGACGACGCCGGGGTTGACGATGAGGACGAAGAAGATGAAGAAGACGAGGACGATGACGACGGAGACGACGACGAGGGGGACGCAGGGTGTGGAGGCTGCGGCGGAATGTCAGGTACGTCAGTTGTGCTGTGCGAAGCGCTTCTGGCCGCCAGATCCCTGCTGCCGCGCTGGCGGTCCACGCGCGCGTTCGCCGGAGCGCTGTAGGGCGAGGACGAGGCGGCCAGTGCGCCGGTGGTCGAGGTCGACGTCGCTGCGGCCGATGATGAGGTGGTCGCTGTTGGTTTCCCGCGTTCGTGTCTCTCTCCCTTCCGCTCTTCGATCTTTTCCCTTCCGCTCTTGCTGTTGGCCTTGGCTTCTTTGCTCGGGTTGGTCTGCACCGCGAACTGGATCTCCGAAGTGTGCGACGTGAAGAGCGAAGAAAACGACGACATGGTTGGGCCTGCTTGCGTTCCTCGCATCTGTCGCTTTCGTTCTTTTTCACTCTTCTCATCCGCTCCTTCGTTGTAGGCCTCATCGCGGTGATCCTGTCGACGCCCGCCTTTTCGGTCGAGTGCTGGTGGAGCGACAGAAGATGAAGAAGACGATGAAGATGAGGTTGAGGTTGAGGTAGATGTTGGTTCGGATGAAGCCGAAGAGGCCGACGACGACGACGACGAGGGCGAGTTGAGAATCGAGGCCAGGATGCTTTCCCAGGGCGTCCCGCTGCCCTGGTAGGGATGCTGTGCGCTCAGCAGGTTGTTGAGCCGCTTCAGCAGCGCCCGCTCCACCTCGGCCCTGTTCAAACCATCCACCCACCGCCCATCCACATCAACGCATCAGCTAAGTTCTGATGAACTGATAAACGTAAAGGAAGCAGTTTCCTGAGAGGGGATGAGGAGAATGAGCGGGCGCTGTACAGCGTGGCCTTGTCGCCGGCCAGTCCTTCGCACCCCTCGGCCCTCAGCTCCTCGGCCAAGGTGCTGTTGATCTGCGCGTAGTGGGCCAAGGAATTCCTTCGAGCGTAGTGTCAGCAGAGAAGACGTGGTCGGCAAAACAAGTGGGGAACAGCAGAGAAGCCCCTTACCGTAGTGTGGTGATCTCGCGAATGCACCGCTTCAGCTGGTCCACGACGCACGTGGTGGATCTGGGCAGGATCGTTGCTTATTGTTGGGGACTCACGCACGTACGGGTGTGTCTGCACATTGACGCGCTCATGAGTACGCACCTGTGGTTGATGGCATGCGACTGGCCCAGGATGGGGATGGCGGCCAATTTGATCGGGTCTCTCCACTCACGGGCATCCAGGAGACGTCCCTCCAATTCCTGCGCGTTTTGCCCCACCATCAGGCACAACATGACGACACGACACGACCAACGACACGACACGAGGCCTACAGTAGGTCGAGGAGGGCACGTGCATCGCCCTGTTGCAGTTCGGTGATGAAGAGCCGCACGAGCTGGTCCAGCTTGCGCCCGGCACAGGAGATCTGCAGCAGCAGCAGCGCTTCGTTCCGGTTGCGCACCTGACCACCGTGCAAGACATGTCGCATATGTTGAGCGTCGTATCGTGTCGTTGGTCGTGTCGTGTCGTGTCGACTCGCGCAGAAAGAAGGGTGAGTGTGCGTGGTTGCGTACGTGCTGGAGGATGAAAGCGGGCGGGAGGGTGAAGAGGGCCTTGAAGGCGGGTTCGCTCGTGCCGCAAGCCTCCGGCGGCGTCTCTGGCGTCAACGCCGCGTCCTGCACGAGGTGGCGACGGTGGGCCGCCCGCAACCGTTACAATTTTTTCAATAATAAATAAACAGGGGAGAAGTACGCGTTCATCCTCATCTGGCCCAGAGGAACCGCTCGGGTTTATGAGGGTGCCGCGAGAGGTGAACAAATCAGCGGACCCCGCCCACATCCGCCAGCTTTTGTTTTGCAATTTCTTTTGTAAAGTGACAAAAGAAACGAAAAGAAAAGAAGAAAAGAAAAGCCGCTTTGTGGCGGAGCTGTTGTCCACTCGGCTTTTTAGCGCGACTTTTGACTGTCGTGCATTTTTTGCCATTGGCCGGTTGTGTGTAAGTTCGGCCTTTTTAGTGCCCTAAAGCCACACGCCGTGCGAGACGGGGATCTCAGAGTGGTGGAGTTTGAGAATGGGCAACGCTCTTTAGTTGGGTAGTGTGCCGCGCAAGGGAAGACCCCACAGATGGAGGACGTAACCTTTGACTTCACCGCCATTGAGGTGTTGCTCTACGCCCGAGGATTTGTCGCGACCATCACCAACTGCCGCCGCAAGTATCGACGCTTTCGAGTCAAAACCGCTTCTTGGTGGGCACCAGAGCAACGTAACCCCTTCTTCTCGCCAACACCTCATGAAACCACCACACTAATCTTTACGCGTGAACGAAAACGAGAAGCGCTCGCCGCCGCCGCAGGCTACCAACAAATCGGGCAGGTCGGGTGGCACGATCGCGGCAACCTCGCTCCACAAAGATGATAACAGTGCAAACACATAAGTTTGCCTCTTGTTCGTATTCCCAATTATTTGTAAGAAAAAGAAATGGCCACTTGGGGTCTAGGGGAGTTGGAGGTCGTGTTTGAGGCTCAGAATCGTGTCCAGGTCAAAGACGGAGCGACAGTCTGCGTGCGCATAGGCGGTCTTGTTGGCCGCGAGCGCCTCCAGCCAGGGCCGCACCCGGCGGTAGTAGTTGTCGCCCCGGGCTTCCAGATGCTTGTCCTCCGCCCGCAGCTCCGGTAGAGGTACCAGCTCGAACCTCTTCCTGTTCATGACCTCGTGCATCTGCGAGCTCACATTCAGCACAGCACCTTTAGTACGATCGCCAAGACACACAACTCGCACGACACGACACGACACGACACTCACATGCGACATGACACACGCGCTACCTGAGGAAAGGTGGCCATGAGCTTGTGAAACGTGACGGGGTAGTAGGGAAGCCGGATGACGTCATCCTTGACGCAGAGGAAGAAGGCAGCCGGCACGACAGAATCGAGGAAGTCTCTGCCCTCGCCGTAGAGCCGCCCATCGAAGGCCGACCGCTGGTGGAACCCGTGGTAGGGGGTCAGGGCCAGCCCGTTGCGGGTGGCCCACTGGCCGAAGCCCACGTCGTCGAGCCCGCCGCACCCCAAGCTCGGCTTGCTCTTCAGGTGGTCCCTCGCCGCCCGGTTGATCAGCCACCCGGCTGCGTGTGTTCAATCCAATTAACCAATGAACGATCAGCACACCATCGTACACACACACACACACACACACACACGCACGCACGCACGCACGCACGACACACACACGACACACGACACACACACACACACACACACACACACACGAAACACACCAACAGAAACACACAAGAAGACGCGCACCTCCGCCATGGGGCCAGATGGTGATGGAGCGCAGATCGGGGGAGGCAGGGTCGTCGTCTCGTCGGCCGTTGTACCACGACGTGCGATCGCCCAGGAAGAGCGGCTTGTCGGCAGAGTTGCTGGCGGCGTTGCTACCGTTCGACGAGCCCGCGGCAATCAGGCTGGCCACCGTGAGGATTAGGTTGCGCGGGTGCACGTAGCTGTCGTCGTCGGCCTTGAACACCCACTCGACCTCCGGATACCGCTCCTCCCACACTCTGAAGTAGAAATGCGCAAACCTGCTCGTGTAGACAGAATATAGTGTAACTCAGTGAGAACATACTCAACATACAACATTGGCACGTTTGGAATGTGGCGGTGGTGGAACGAACCGGCAGCACTTGGCCGAGACCCAGGAACGCATCGCGTTGCACTTGGGGACGGTGATGGTGCCGAGATCGGGGTCCTCGGTGTCGCTGATGAAGACGAAGAGGTCGCGCGCCCATGGGTCGTCCCTGTAGACGCGCCGCAGGAGCTCGACTCTGGCCCGGTTCTGCGCCACGGTGGTGACGATGACCTTGACCTTCTTCTTGAGCTCGTACAGCGCAAGATCTTCGGCTGGCAGGCCAGCAGCAGCGGGAAGTGGAGATGGAGAAATAGAAGAAGAAGAAGGACATGGGGTGGTGCCGCTGGCGCCACCTGCAAGGAGATAAGAAGAAACGAAAGAGGCGGAAGATCTTGATGAAGGGTTGAGAAAGGAGGTGAAAAGAACGAAGGAGACAACCAGAAGAAAGAGAAGAAGAACGAACAGCCTCCTGATCGGGGGCAAGGACGACAACATTGCTGGTTGTTGCAGTAAGCTGGGGCGAGACACTCCTTCCCTCCGCCCGCAACTAGTCCCTTCTCTCTTTGTGGCCCGCTATCTATCTGCTGTTTTTGCCGATTTCCGAACACGCCCCTGCGGCACTCAAAAAATCTTAAGGTGAATCTTAAGGTGTTTGGTGTCTGGTGTGTTGAGGAGTACAGTTTTTCAATTATAATCAACACAATCTCCCATGCGTGCGTTTCAGGTCTCCTGTTGTGGCACGAGAACGACCCTCCAATACGCCCCAATAACCGCGGGCTGTGGGCACTCTACAACAGACTAACCCGAAGAATCGCGAATCCCACGGGAAGTGTGTTGGCCTTGTGGGGGGTCAAAAGGTTTCAGTGACACGCACGACACGACACGCACGACACCAACACGCAACTAACCTGAGCTGGCGAACCCAAGCAGGAGAAGTACGAGATGCTCCTCAACCGCTACGTCGAGGAGGAACGCAGCCCGCAGCGCTTCGCCCTCTTGCCTTCTCTCAGCATTTCTTCCATAAAGAGACCCTCATTTATTGGCCAGATGGGAAAACAGGAAGAACATTTAATTAGGCCAAGGTGACAGTGGCATTCCAAACGTGGCCGCTGGTCGGGGCGGCCAGGTTGAAAGTCACCTTGGAATAGAGTCCCTTCTGTGGCGACAGTTGCAACAGGATCTTGGGGTGGCTGCCCAGGGTGCTGGAGTAGGTCATGGCCAGCAGTTGACCGTTGGCTTTCAATTGAACACTGGCTGATAGGATGAGCAGTGTAAGAGAGATCATTTGAGTTGTTTGATGGTAACAATAGGGGGGGGGGTGACATTCACACCAAACAGATTGCCAAGAATGAGAAGAACACCCACAGAAGTGTGATAACAGAAAGGTGACATTATGGTGTTGAAGGTCAGAGAAGAGTGAATGTCTTGCCAGCGGGCTATGAAGATATTGGTTGGGCAATTTAGTTGTCAGGCACACAACCAACTCTGCCTGTCAAACTACTCCTCCAACAACTCCACTGTCACAGGACATGGGACTGTTACTTTTTCCAACTACTGAGTTTGGATGCATGTTGCAACATGAGCCAGTGTTGTCATAGACAGTGAGAAGAGGTGGAGGAAGGTCAGGTTTAACAGCAGCACTGGCACATGCACCTCGGCTGAGGTGCCCCACCACTTCAACAACACCAGATGAACAGTGGGGACAGTGTAGACAGCATGGACGAGGGCATGGACATGGGTGAAGAAGAGGGTGGGCCTGTGATGGGTGTGGGCGGGATGTGGGTTGACAGCAGTCAAGCACCCCAAGCATGGACGTTGTCATGCTTGTACATGATGCACACCCATTTGCAGTAGGGTGAGAGTGTCAGGTCTGTGGGCGATCTGCAGCCAGTGATCTTGAACTTGGCAATTGGACCCATGGTCCACAAGTGCAGAGGGGGCATGGGGAGGCAGGGGAAGCGATGTGCACATGCACATGTCAGAAGGTGGTAGTGATGGTGGGAGTGGGGCAGGGGGAAGTGATGTGTGCAGGTGCCCATGTCAGAAGGCGGTGGATGGCGGGGCAGGGAGGAGTGGAAGTGATGTGTGCAGGTGCCCATGTCAGAAGGTTATGATGGTGGGGCGGGGGGCGGGGGAAGAGATGTGTGTACCTCTCACATAGAGCCATCCCAAAAATGGCCATGGTCTGATGAGCCCACCACAAGCATGCACCAGAAGGCAGACAGGCTCTGGCTGTCCATTGCATGCACTACATGCATGACAAGGGTAGTGGAAAGAAGGCTACATGAGGTAGAGATGCCACCAGTGGAGAGGGGAGCCTTACAAACACCTCAATTGTTGCAGGTGAGGGTGTTGATCACAATGTGTCCATGGTGATGGCTGAAGATGCAAGGAATGAACAATGCCTTCCCTTTTGGCCAACCTGGATGTTCTTCCCCTTTTTTTTACCAAATGAAAGCAGGTCACCAGCATTTCACCATATACACAGAATACCCTTACCCTCCCCCACCATCAAGAAGACTAACCTGTGCAGGCATGGAGCAAGGGGTAGCCTCCAATGCTAGCAGAGCAAGGGGTTGAGCAGGAGCAAGAGGTAGGCCTTGCTCTTTGCCACCTTTGGCCCAGCCTCACACCCTTCATTTGCCAACCTCAAGGTGGTCACCAACCAGCTTTACCACATCACCATTTGCCCAATGACAAGGGTTTGGAGCAAGGGGTTGAGCAAGGTGTTTGTGCCCACTTCTCCAGCTTTCTGCCACACCACCATTTGCTCAAAAAACCTTTGCCACAAGCACACCACCTCCCACTGCAGCCCACAAAAGCTGGAGCAAGGGGTTGTGGCTTTTGCTTTTCATACTCTGGTTGCTCATTGGTTGATTTCCAGTGGGTTTTTATTTTTTTCCTTTTGTCCCCTCTACCCTAGCTTCCCCTTGATGAAACCAGTGGCCAAGCTGTTGGAATTGAGTAATGTAGAGGAGTTTGAAGTTGTACCAGTACAAAATACTGTGAGAAGAATAGAAGAAAAAACGAGACTGAAAAAGAATAGAGAAATCAAGAAGTGGTGACTATCCAACAAAAGTACCCCCAAGGCCTGTGCAGCCTGCGGGGGCACACGAGAAGACGAAAAAAGCTCGTGGTTAGGGCTCGGTGGCGGTATTTCACCGGCGCAGGGCGTTAACCCCACTCCCGCCTATTCTACTCCCGCTCCCAGCTCCACTGGTTGCCCAATGGAGTCCCACCAGCTGCCCCAGAATGCTCTTCCTTGTCCCTCTTTGTGCTTGCCTCCTTGGCCCAGACCTCTTCATTGTGGGATTTTATTTGGATTCAGTGAATCGCCATAAAACGGGTGTGGAGTATTCGAACAGCAACACAGCTGCAACGATTATCTTATCTTAACACCGCATAGAGCTTATTGTTATTGTCTGAAACTTGATCAGTGGGCTGCCGCCAAACATACAACTAGTCGAGCTTGGCCAGCATGGTGTCAATCTGTTCCTTGTAGTGTTCGTGCAGCTGTAGACACGTTGTCAATGCGTTAGAATGATAAGAAACGACGAACCGGTTGGGCCGGAGGTGTGTACCTGAGGGCGCTTGAGCTTGAAGGTGGGCGTGACAAGGCCGTTGTCGGAGGAGAAGGCCTCGGGCTCCAGGTGGATGTCCGCCAGCCGCTCGAATCCCTTCAGGTGGGCCGCCTCGCCGGCCTTCTTGAGGCTCGCCATGATCTCCTTCTTCACCTGATCCTTGCGGCACAGCTCCGCCAGGTCACCCTGTGCATTCACCACACGTCACCACACACAACGCACAGAAAATGAGCGTGTGTGTGTCATGTGTGTCGTGTGTGTAGGTGCGGGCGTACGTCGATGGCCTTCTCCTTGGCCCACGGGAGGAGGATTTCGGGGTCGGGCACGACCACGGCCACGAGCGAGGCCTTGAGGCTGCTGCCGTAGATGAAGATCTGCGCCACGAAGGGGCTCTTCACGTACGCCGACTCCAGCTTGTCCGGACTGGCGGCATTGGCGATTAAGTGTTTTTCACAGTGAGTTGCATGCGTGGTGTGTATGTGTGTGTGGCGTGCGAGAAGGAATAGCGTACGCGATGTACTCGCCCTGGGAAAGCTTGAAGATGTCCTTCTTGCGATCGATGATCTTGAGGGTGCCGTTGGGCTGCATCTCGCCGATGTCGCCGCTGTGAAGCCATCCGTCGTCCTCCAGCACCTCCGCCCTGCGATCGCAAGTGGTCAGCAACAATCCTCTGAAGAATTCGAGGAACGAAGAGATGAGCGGGTGATGGCCAGTCTGAGCGTACGTCTTCTCGGGGTTCTGGTAGTAGCCGGAGAACACGGCGGGGCCGCGGAAGCAGATCTCGCCTCTCGGGTTGGGCTTGTCTGTGGCAAAGTATTTCTATATAAAAACACGCGGCACAAGTGCCAATCAGAAGGCGCGGTCACTTGCAAGGAGAAGGCCGAGAAGGGGCGAACCATGTCGGGCACGTCGACGAGCTTGAGCTCAGAGTTGGGGAGGGGCGCGCCGACGTGGCCGGACGTGGTGTCGCCGGGCATCGTGGCACAAGCCGCTGCGCAGCACTCGGTCTGTCCGTAGCCCTCGAGCAGCTCGGCCGAGAAACAACTGTAACAATTTTAAATATAGTCATATTACTGATAGAACACCAGATTATAAATGTTTTGATAAAATATAGAGTAAATAGAAAAGGGCGGGGTACATTCGCAGGAAGTCCTTGACGTCGGCGCTGATCGGGGCCGAACCGCTGATGATGAGACGCACTCGGGCGCCCAGCTTGGCCGCGATCTTGGAGAAGACGAGTCGGTCCCACAGCGGGCTCGACACCTTACCCTCCCTGCGCGCATCACACCGCCAACTCGTAAGACCCCTCTGGAGCTTGGTGCGGCGTTGGTTGTGTACGAGCGGGTGGTGTGTGGTAGGACTTACTTGAGGAGTTGGACTTTGGCAGCCCAGGCCCTCTCGAAGAGCATCTTCTTCACACCGGTCAGCGTGGCCCTTTGCGCCATCACCTGCACTCGCGTGCGCGATCAAAACGAAAAGAAGAGAAAAGAAAAGAAAAGAGTCACTGATTAGATCCACGTCGGTGCGCCCTAAAAAGAGAGGTGGAGAGGACCTTGTCGTAAAGGCGGTTGAAGAGGCGCGGGACGGAGGGGAAGACAGTAGGCCTCAGCGTAGCAATATCGTCAAACAGCTCCGGCACAGTCTGTTAACAGCGATCACCACCAGTGAGCGTGTGGCGAGACAATAATGTAATAATGATAATATGATAACTAATCACTGATCATCAGCAAGTGCGTACGCCTCGGTAGAAGCCGATCGACGCGCCCTGGAGGAAGACGGCGGCCTGCAGGATCCTCTCGAAGACATGGGCCAGCGGAAGGTACGAAATCACCACGTCCGAGCTCGTGACGAGGTCTGCGTAGGTAACGAGGTGCATATTTCGTTAGAATCGCGTGCGCGATTCGAGCACAAAAGCGGCAGGCGATGGCGCGGTACCAGGCTTCAGCACGAACACGCCGGCGACGTTCGCGATGAAGTTGCCGTGCGAAAGCATGGCGCCCTGCACAGCCAAACGAAGGGAAGGAAAGAAAAGAAATATATGACACCACAGGTGAGACTGGAGGGTGGCCTTGGTCACAGCCGAGAGAAGAATAAAAATTGAACTGAATTTCGCATGGGTTGTTGCGGGTGCAAAGGCTTCAGCGCGGACCTTGGGAGTGCCGGTGGTGCCCGAGGTGTAACAGATCGTGCACAGGTCGTCGCGCGAAGGGGGGATGGGCTTCGCGGGGTTCTTCTTGCCCTGTTCGCCGCATATGTCGCGATATATATTCGTATGAGTCGCTGACCAGTGGGCCACTGGCATCGCCCACTGGGAAGGGTGAGAGTACCAATTCGATGAGCTCGTCGATGGTATGCAGCGAAATGTTCCGCTCTTGCAGGACGCTCTTGGCCTCCTCGTCGTCAAAGGAGTCAAACGTGACGATGTGCGTAATGTCGGACTTGTCCAGTACGCGGATCAACTAGTTGTGGTCACGTCGCACGTGCGACGTCGTCACAACAACATCAATCAGTCAGCGCTGGGGCGAAGGGAGCTTACATTACGCTAAAGCTGCACACGCGTACCTGTTGGACCTTCTCGTTGGTGCAGAACACGAGCTTGAGGCTGGTCTCCCTGAGGATGTGCTCCACGGCCTCCTCGCCCAGGGTGTCGTAGAGCGGCACCACGACCATGGAGAAGGCGTTGGCCGCTTGCTCGGTGATGACCCACTCGGGCCGGTTGCGCGAGTAGATGCCCACCGTGTCTTTCTGTTGTTGAGGACGCCATCGCAACCAAGGGCGAGTCACGGTGAGCCAAGCAATATGACTCTGATGAATCTAAGGAATGCACGGCCTCAGACGGGAGTTGGGGGCGGGCGCGTACGGGCTTGAAGCCGAGCTCGAGGAGGCCGGCGCCGAGGGCGAGGAAGCGATCCTGCACCTGGCGGTACGAAAGCCACTGGTAGGGTCCGTCGCCCTGGCGCCAGCCCAGGCAGTTACCCTCGGGGTTCAGCGTGAAGCCGCGCCTAACGACAAACCGACACTCTGTCAGTCAACAACAAGGCCGCCCACAATTCTCAAGTTGCGCAGTGTTGGGGTGGCGGGCGTAGTGTTACTTGAAGTTCTCGTAGAGCGTGGTCGTCTCGGGCACGAACGTCTCCACCAGGGTGTCAGGCGAATGGATCGATCTGCGTTGCGTTGAGGCACAGGTGCAGCGACGTCAGGGTTACTAGTGTCTTCAAGCCCCAACGGGTCGGACGCATGGGCCTTCTTGGGCTGCTCAAGTCTCGAGGAAACGTCGGGGCGTAGTAATAGTACCTGTAGACGTGGGACTCGCCCTTCTTCTCGGGCGGCATCATGACCGACTGTGGTCCAGTGGGCGCTGGCTTCGCTGAACCTGTAGCGCGACGAGTTGTGAGGCACGCGTCATGTTTTGTTGAGGGAAGAGAGAGTTGGGGGGGGGTGTACCGAGGAGGTGGTAGGCAGCGGCAGCGCCAACTACGGCCAGACCAGTTGCAGTGATGGCGGTCCCATACTCGTCCCTGTGTGCCACGTAGCCGAAATCACAATCGAGAGTTAATTATAATGAGATCGAGGAAAGAGGTGATTAAATGAAAGCAGATAATGCAACAACATTCAGTAAACAGACAAGATGCGCTCAAGAGCGATCATGCCAGCAATTTCTTGGCACGCGTTGACTTCTCGACTGCAAAATGAGGGACAACGATTCATGATGAGGAGGGCAAATTGCCCTCGTGAAAACAAATGGGCGTACCAAACGTCATGAAGGCTTTCCATCTTTCTCTTTTGAGGCCACTTCAAGACAGGCCCTGTTCTTGTCTGTGCAGTTGCTGAAGATGTAGCAGCCGATCGTCGGTCTCGAGCTTCTGGGCTTAAAAATTGCCGAAAGCACCAATAAAAATATGCCACCGCACCCCTAATCGCCCGCATTAAGGCCAGAATACAATTATGGTAGGTGGCCGCTCGCGAAACTGAGTTGGTGGTGCACGCAGGGGATCGTCGTGTCGGGTGGGCAGTAGTAGGGGCTCCTTGAGATGATGCCGGCTAGGCTTCTATGCCCACGTGAACTGATCGCGGAACCTAATGAGGGTTCGTTGCCATTATGGGAGAGGTCTCTGCGGTGAAAATGGTGACCGAGGAGAGGAAAAGACGGGCTGCTACAACACAACCATGGCGAGTGGTGAGATTAAGGTTCTCATACGAAGAGGCCGGTGTAGTTGTGGTCGATGGGTCACCGTTCATCAGTGCCGGTGCTCTCGCCCCCTGTGATGCGTGTGATCGCACACAAACCATACGAACACACAGGCGAGGTGTCGCAAAGCGTGTGCGTGGGTTAGCAAGGACTACCTCCGTCCCAGACCTCACTTCGCCCCCTTGCGGTACTTTCTCTCCCTCCTGCCCAACAAACACAGCTTGTTTTTATATCATTTAACATTTATTATTTTTTGTTTTCTCGCTCAGACTCAAACTGCCCCAGAAAATAAGTGATGGCTGGTGAACGTTGGCCTCCTCTCTTCACGTTGTAAGCTCTCTCTCGCGTGAGCGAAAGGCCGCGAGTACCCAATACTGTGGAGCTGTGCCAGATAGTGTCAGCACGTCAGATGCACAGAAGTAAGTGTCTCGTGCGGGTGGCCACATCTCCTCGCGCTGTGCGCGGCATTCGTTCTCGTGGTCCTGCTCCCGAACAGTTGATCGCCCCGGTAGGAGTTTTGACCAACAGAATTAGTTTGCCCGAGACAACCATGAAAAAAGCGTCTTGCGACTGTTTCGGAGCACTTTCGCCGACCGCACCGCGAGGGCAGGCCCTTGATCAAAGAACGAAGAGAAGAACACGTTCCCACCCACAACCACAGAACGCGGGTGCCGCGCAGAACAGAGCGAAGATGTGGTTGGGTTTCTTTATGTGAATAAGACTCTCCGGATGCGCGCGGGTGGGCTTCGACGGAGCGACAATACATAAATAAATAAATAAATAAATATAGAGATAATATGGGGATAGAGGAGGAAGACCGTGGACGACGACCAGCTGGATAGAGGGCGCGTCGGTCGAATAAATAATGGATGGGGTTGAGATAATAACTTAGGGGTTCGCTGTACACTGGTCCCGTGTCCCTCGTAGACGTGTTGTTGGCTGATGTTCACGATGAGTAGGAACCGGTCGTCGTTGTCGTTGCGGCGCGATCAAACGACCTGGCAGGCTCAGTTGAGCAGGTCGTAGATGCTGGAGCGCTTCCTCTCGGCTGAGTCCGGCGTCGGCGAGGGCGAGGGCGAAGACGACGGGGACGACATGATGCTCGAGAACGACGTCGAGAGCGAGGGGGACGACGACGAGAGCGACGAGAGCGGCGACGACGACATGATGCTCGAGAACGACGTAGAAGAGGGCCTCGACGAGCGCGAGGTGATCGACGAGAACGAGGCCGTGCGCAGGTGTTGCATCATCATGCCGGCGGCCATCACCTCCTCGTCGTTCTGGTTGTGGAGGCTCTGGTTGCTGATGAAGCTGGCCGGGTAGCCGTGGTGGTAGGGCCGGAAGAGCTGCTGGTGCGGCGCGTAGCTCGAAGTGGTCGACAACTGGCCGGCCGCGGCAGCAGCGGCGCCGAGGTGGTGCAGGTGCTGGAGGCCCATGGCGGCAGCGGCGGTCGATTGACTCTCCTGCTGCGGTCGCAGCTGGTGGAGCTGGACGACTCCGCCGGAGGCCTTGGCGTGGTTGTGGCTGGCCGTGGCCTCCATCTCCTCGGACTGGCGCTTCATCATCTTTCGCTTGAGCCGCCAGAACTTCATGCCGCACGGGTTACAAATTCTGTTGTTGTTGTTGTTGGAAAGGTCAGGCCGCCTGGTCCGTAAATGAAGAAGAACGAAAGAGACAAAAAACAGACGAAGAAAAAAAAACGGCCACGTACTTGGTGCCGTCGGGGCCGTTGCGCCACTGGGACGACTCGGTGGCACCGCAGCCGCTGCAGACGTAGGCCTTGCGTCGGAGTTGCTTCTTGTTGTTCTTGCAGTCGCTGTTGGCGCTGCTGCTGTTCTTGCTGGCGATGTTTCGCTTGGCGGCTGCCGACGACGCGGCGGCGGCGGAGCGCGCGGGGCTCGCGGTGGGCGACGTGGACGAGAGCGAAGGCGAGGTCGAGGAGGAGGTCGACGGCGAGGCCGGCGACGAGGGCGACGAGCAGATGTCGGCCACGGGCGACGAGGGCCGCGACGACGACGGGCTGATGGTGGTGAGCTGGGACTCGAGGTCGCACAGCTCGCGGAGCATGCGCTTGAGGGCCGGTTGGTCGAGTCCGCGCTTGGTGCCGACTCGCGAGAGGAGGTAGATGTTCTGCGCCGACTGCATGACCTTGCTCATGCTCGCGCCCTCAGCCGCAGGGTTTGACTCCGACGTCATTGGGTTGGGCTCCATCGCGTCAAAGTGGTGTTGGTGGTGCGGATGGGCCGAGGCTGTGAGTGAAGACGACATGCCGCCTGTGTGTGTTGTGTGTTGTGTGTTGTGTCGGTGTGAACCGAACGAAGGTGGGTCGTGGGACTGTCACGCTCTGGCCGCGGCAACGACGGTCTCGGAATTGGGGGTTGTTCGTGGGTGGTGTGCCTCGCTAAGTCCGCGGTTGTTGGCTCGGAGTCAAAAAATCGAGCTTGGCCGCGTCAGGAGCGTAAATGAGGGTAAGCTGGACGACTGGGGGACTGGGCGGTGGGTGCGGTTTGGTCTCTGGTGTCCGTGAAGGGAAGAGTTGGTTCGAATTTGAAGGTTGAGCGAGTGGCGTCGACGCGGTGGTGAGTGCGGAAGAAGATGTCGGTGTTTGAAAGTCGAGTGTGAAGGAGTTGGTTGGGCAAGTGGTCGTCGAACGGAGGGGGCTGGGAGTAGTGTGTGGAAGTGGAGGACCGCCCTTCGCTAGTCAAGTGGTGATGTGTGTGTGTGGTGGGTGAAGTAAAAGAGTGAGAAGCCAAGCTCGCTAACTCAGCTCGTATAAAAAGGTGGCGGGCGGAGAGCGCAGGAACGGGTGGAACGAGAAGAAGTGGGGAGATACTGCAGACCACAGCAGCCCAGATCAGCTCGCCCGCGGCGTACACCGCGCGCATGCCGCACGCCAGTGGCTTGAACTGTTGTCCGAAAGTGACCCCGACGACAGCGCACGTGGGCCGCTCGCTCGAGGGCTCTCATAAGGCGATTCAAGAAACAGCTCACGTCACGCCTCGTTCTTCAGGCGAACGCTTGACACTTGCCAATCGGCCATTGACGCGTGGCGGGCTATTTGTTCACTTTGTCGACATTCGGACCCCACATTCCGTACGTCCCTGGATAATGTCCAGACCAGCATCGTAATGCCAAGATAAAGTCAGGTATCTGATGCGTATGTCTAAGGTGCCCAGTTATTGTTCGGTTTTGGAAACCTAAAAAGGGCGAGGGGATAATTCCTGGAGGGATCGTAATCTCATTGTCGACAATAGCTCGCAGAGAGCGAACGAGAGAAAAGCGAGCGAAGAACGAGGCCTGCGCAAATGGCCCAACCACGGGGCGAGCTTGAGGTGGCAGTAGTTGACGACAGGTGAACTGAACTCGTGTTCGCTTGGCGGGGTCCAGACAACGCCAATCTGCGAACGCCTGGAGCCTGAACCGTCACGCGCCAGGCGTTCTGTTGGCCGTTACAGCTTTCCCCTCCAAGCCTCCCCAGCGCAAGAATGGGGACCGTCGCAGCGCAGGTGGTCCGTAACGAACCCACGTAGTGCCTCTCTGCTTTCCTCTCCCCCAATTCTCCACGTTAGTGGCATTACGCGGGGCCCGCGTCAGGCGCGAAGCGGCGCATGTCACTGCGCGTCGTTCTTCTTGAAGCCGATCAAATCAGCGGGTCTCTCTTCTTTTTGGCCTCTGGCGGAGTGCTTTCAGAAAGAGAAACCGCTCATGGCTTGTTGGCGACGGGGATAGACAAGACGACGTCAAACATCAGAGACGGAGACGCAGAGGCTCGATGACGGTTACATCATCAGGCAGCTGCGCACGATGATGAAGGAGCACCACTCACCTCCTGAAGGCCGCACGAGCTTGATGACAGATGATGGACTCGCACAGTGATAGCGAGTGCACCGATGGGAACACCGTGCGAGGGACAGGAAGCAACCAGCAGCCGCGGGCTCGTGACTGTCGCACAGCTAGATGAACCTGCACCACTATCGTAGCAGTCAGGAGTGTGCGTACCACAGAACTCGACGCAGCGGTAGCAGTAGCCGCTCAAGGAGAGGAGACCGTGGGAAGGGAACTGCGGCCCAGTTGAAGCACAGTGACGCGGGCGGAGACGCGACGGGTTTGCCGGGGGGCAAGCTTGGGGTGCCACCATCGCCTCGGTCCGTGATGGCCGCGGGTTAGCTAGTAGGCAGCGGTGATGACACGCTTGGTCCGCTCACGTGTGGGGGCCTCTCGGGGGGGGGGGAGTGGAGGTGGGGGGGGTAAGGGCAGAAGCGTCGATGCGTTTAGTGAGCTGGAAGGGCCTCTCTCTCTCTCGCATTAGTAGAGGAAGGGGAACAGAATCCTGCGGTTCTTGGGGTAGCCCGGGAACTCCTTCTTGTAGCGCCTGTGCTTCTGCTGAGCCCAGACCAGCATCTGACCGCCACCGACAAGCGTGAACAGGAAAGCTGGAGTCCAGCACCCACACGCACGAGACGCAATCGAAGAAGAGAAAAGCTTAGTGACTCGAGCCTCTTTCCCGGACATGAGCAGTGATCAAAATCCTGAGCGGGGAGGAACGCACCAGCAACGCTCTGGGTCATGAGCGAGAAGCACACCCAGGCGAGGATCTCGCAAGTGTAGTTGGGGCACGACACCAACTCGAAGAGGAAGCCGCGGGGGATCCTACGGACGGTAGTACCCTCCGGACGCAAGTTGCGCAGCTGGATGTGCGAGATGAGGTTGCCAAGCTCGAAAAGCTGCACATTGCGGCGTCAGAAGGGAAGGCCCAACGTTTGTGAAGAGAGTGCCCACAACCCATCTGCACAGCAGTACAGGGAAGGAGAAGAATGGCCGGGTGGACTACGTACAACGAAGAACGCGAGGGCAGTGTAGACCTGAGTGGGCTCGGGGTTGGTGAAGTAGGGGTGGTTCACGAAGTAGCCGCAGAGAGCGCCAAAGCCCCAGTAGTAGCCCGAGTTCTTGAAGATGTTCATGATCGGCATGGTGCCGTGGCTATTCAACAAGCACGACGCAGCATCAAAAAAAGAAGGTTAAACACATAGTTGCGCGAGGCTGAAGCGAGTGCGAGGCTCGGTCTGATACCTGAAGCGGTGCACGAAGATGGTCTCGAGCTCGCGCTTCAGGTAGTGACCCGCCCAGCAGAGGAGAGCGAGGCTATTACGTGGCGCATCACCAACAACGGGTAAGTAAACAGCGCACACGTGCAGATAAACGAAGACTGAAAATTGTCAAAACCGCTGGGTGCGTACTTCTGCACCCACGTGTGCGGCGCGTCTGAGGCCGGGTAGATGAACGGAGGGCGGGCGTAGAAGAACAGGTAGATGAGCAGCGGACCAGCGTACTCAACCAAGAACACCTGCAGCCGATAGCCACCGCGGTGTTTAGTAGGACGAATTTGCGGCCGGCAGAGACGATTTGTCGTTAAAATAGTAATAGAAAGAAGTGCCATGCCAATCTTCAAGGAGGGGGGAAAAGAACCGTCTTCCAGGCAATCTGAGGACCTGCGGCATTGAATTGACTGATTGTTAGCCATGTCGCAAAAAGATAGAAGATTCTTCCAAATGCGGCGCGGCTGACGCACCAAGATCGCGGAAGTAAACGACGTCATCCCTCTTGCTGCAAAGCAGGTTGTAGGTCGAAAGCTTCTTCTCATCCTCCAGGCTGACCCTCGTCTCTGTGGATTGCGTACGTGAGTAATTCAATTCAGGTGAATTAAAGAGTGTCGGCTTGGCTGTACCTCCATCCTGCAGGTAGAACCTCTGCCGGTCGGGATAGTACTTGGGGACTGTCGATCCATGCCTTGAAAGTGAATCAAAGTGCCGAGATGTCGGGTTGGGGGGGGGGAATTATTGGTGTAAAAACGTACAGGCCTTGGCGTAGGCCGCCTTGAGCTGAGCCACCGTGGACGACTCGGAGACCTCGAGTTCCTTGAGCACCTTGCCGCTGGGGGATTTGATCGTGAGCTTACCCATCTTGCCGTGCGATTCGCTCGAGTTCAAGCCGCTCTCTTCGTCCTTCGTCGCCAGCCTCGCCAACACCGAAAATGTGCATAACTAGATTTTCTTTTTGAGTTTCAATCAAGAAAATGCATTTCTGCTCTTTTCTTCTGTGTAGCGAAGCTGTGGGACAACCCACGGTCTGCATCCACCAAAAGCATTGGAAAGGAGACGAGCGTGCCCCCTCCCCCCCACAGAGCTCTGGCTGCCGACACGGGTCCCTGCCCACCACTGCACGAAAGAAGATTACACATCGGCTTGGATTCCACTCTGCACTAAAAAGTGAAGATGAGGAGAGGCGGCACTCCCTCCACCTCCTCCTTTGGCCGGCAGACTTCTGCAGGCACGACGATGGGGTCATTTCAATGGAACTTGAAGTCACTGGTGGTGCTCGGTATCCTGTTCCACTGCGTGTACCTGTTCAGCATCATCGACATCTATTTTCGGTCTCCCATCGTGCATGGCATGACACCACACGCCTCCTCGCTGCAGCCTCCCGCGCAGCGCGTCCTCGTCTTCGTGGGTACCCACTGTCGCACCCCCTTTGCAGGCTCGCAGTTTTTAACTTTTATTTTTACAAAGAACAATTATAATTATATAAAAATAATTATATAAATAATTAATTCAAGATCACTGCGCACAGCGGATGGTCTGCGAGCGGACAAACTGTTCGAGACCCTGGCACTGGTGCAGCGGAGAGATGGGACTGGCAAGTACTTTCTTCGTGACATCGTCGAGAAGCGGGGCAGGTACTGCGTTTCGCGGCCAGGCCGCCGATGCGTTATGCGACGTGCAGTGACTCACAGTGGTACATTGTTGGTTGTTGTTGGTTGTTGTTCACCCACAGGTGGGGCGTGTCGCACGCTCGGGTACCCACCGAAAGTCGGCCCGGGCACGTTGCCCTCTTCGCCGGTTTCTACGAAGACGTGTCTGCCGTGACCAAGGGTACGGGAGTGCAGCGAACGTTGTGCCCGACATGAACTCACCATCGGCCATTGGTCACATCCGCCGTCGCTGGCTCCAGGTTGGAAGGCAAACCCGGTCGAATTCGACTCTGTGTTCAACGAAAGCGCGCGTTCGTGGTCGTGGGGAAGGTACCCTATCCCATGCCCCTGCGTCAGAATAAAGTGTACAGTCGCGTGCGCTAGCGCTCACCCCGAGTAACTGGTTCTTTGCACCCTCCAGTCCCGACATTCTGCCGATGTTTGCCCACAATGTGCCGCAGATGTACTCGCATTCGTACCACGAAGACTCCGAGGACTTTGCGTCGGGTACTCTCGTCACGGCTCACCACCCGCACAACAACTCAAACTACATTGCCCGAGTGCTTGCATTTCTATATATATTTTTGACAATTGGCTTCCAGATGCGTCGAACTTGGACACGTGGGTGTTCGATCGCGTCGAGGAACTCTTTGCGTCATCGCACAAGAACCGGACTCTGAACGACCAGGTAACTACCACTTTGATGCTCGCACCGGTACCAGTGAGGGCGAGCCCTGAGTTCTAATTCTCTCGCGGGCAGCTGCATGAATCGCGCAGCGTGTTCTTCCTGCACCTGCTCGGCATCGACACCAACGGTCATGCGCACCGGCCCTACTCCTCCGAGTACGCGCTCGTCACTTCGAGCCCCCCGATTCATCCAACCGCCTTGGCACCCATTAACCAGGCCCTCTTGACGTGTGCGAGCAGATATCTGGAGAATATCGACATCGTCGACCATGGCGTGCAGCGGCTCTACGAGCTGTTCGAACAGTACTACGGCGACGGGCAGACCACGTACATCTTTACCTCCGATCACGGCATGCACAACAAGGTGACTTGGGCGAGCGCTCTTTCTGCTTTCTCCCCATCTTCCACACGCGCACCGACGCGCGGGGTCGCTTTGGCATCGACCTGAACTGAATGTGAATTATTATTGCAGGGAAGCCACGGCGACGGGCACCCGGACAACACCGAGACCCCGTTCATCGTGTGGGGCGCCGGGGCGCGCAAGCCGCACCCGCCGACTGCTCGGCCCGGCGAGAAGTCTATGCCGGCGCCCGGCGCCTGGAACCTCACCGGCCTCCCGCGTTTCGACATCAACCAAGCTGACGTGGCGCCTCTCATCGTACGCCCCCAGTCTGCCTCGCTAGTCACGCGAATTCACTGAAGGTGATGCGGCCTCGTCTCGCGCGCGTGCAGTCGTTCTTCGCGGGCCTGACCTATCCCATGAATTCGGTCGGCGTACTGCCCACGGCCTACATCGACGCCCCGCAGTCGAGCGTGTCCGACGGCCTTCTGCAGAACGCGCTCGAGATCTACGAGCAGTTCCTCCGCAAGGCTCAGATGAAGCGGGACCATTCCATCATGTTCAAGAACTTCAAGCCCCTCCACGACGCCGATACGACGGTACTATAACACTCTTCGCAGCGCGTGTCGTGTGTGTCGTGTGTTTCGTGTTTCGTACTGAGCCAAGTCGTTGTGATCAGATCCGGACGATTCGTGCGCTCATGTCGTCGGGCAGGCACGAGCAGGCGCAAGAGCTGTCCAGCAGCCTCATCGACCTGTCGCTGCAGGGCCTCCACTATTTCCAGACCTACGATTGGCCGTTCCTGCTCTCGGTGGTCTCGCTGGGCTACGTCGGCTGGATCGCGTTCCTGGTGCTCCATGTGGTGGCCCACAACACCAACCTGCCCGCCTACGTGCGCCACCGATTGGCCCAATCCAACCGCAACGTACCCTCCCCTCACTCATCGCAGTGCATTTTGCGTGTGGTGGCTCACTGAGTCGCCCTGGGCGACACAGACCAATCTGTTGGCGGCCCTGGTCGGCGCGGCCCTGTTCGTATTCCTGTGGCTCGAGTCGTCCCCGATCCAATACTACCTCTACACGTTCTTCCCTGGTACAATAAGATAATATTATCAATCGAGGAAACCGTCTTGCTGACGATCATCGCCATGGCGCGCAGTTCTGTTCTGGGCGCAGATCTACAAGGCCAGGTCCATCCTAAGGCACCACCTGCCCACCATGCTCACCCTTCCGTCGTTCGTCATGTCCTCCCTCCTCGTCATCATCTTTCTCGCCATTCTCGAAGTCATGGTACGTTACGCATGTTGTCGTGTCGTGTCGTGTCGTGTCGGTTTTGCTAATGTGAATTAACCGATGACAGGTGGCGAGCTACTACAACCGGGAGCTGCTCTGTCCGGTGCTGCTGCTCGTGGGCTGCTGGCCCCTGGTGAAGGAGAGCAGCGTGAGCGGAAGTCTGGCCGTTGGCTGGGCCGCGTGCTGCTTCGTCCTCTCCATCTTCCCGCTCCTCTCCGTTGAATTCGGCTCCTCCATCTCTCTTGTGTACGCACCCCTCCGTGTGGCCCAGCACTCTGTGCGTGTGGGCAGTGAGCCATGGAGACTGACGCGCGTGCCAATGGGCGATGTCAGGTCTGCGGGCGGGCTGGCGGCGTTCGCCCTGGGCGCGCTGCCGTTCGTGGTCAAGCTCTTCTTCACGCCCCGACCGGCGCCGGTGGTGGTTGGCGGCAAGGAGAAGGAGGAGAAGTCGGAGCGGAACAAGCTCGCCTATCTTCCGCCCTTCTCGCCCGCCGAGGCTCGCATGGCCGCCATCCAAGTACTTTCCTCCCCCTCCATCTTGCGCACCGCGAACCGCAGGGCACGCTCGCCGCATGGCTCGTGACTTAGATGATTGTTTTCTTTTTTTTATGTCGGTGGTGATTGTCACACAGCTGGCCGCCGTGCTCGTGGCCGTGTGGGTTGTGAGCAGCACCAACTTCAACCTCGAGAACAAGCTGCCCGTTCCATTCTACAACCACGTGATCGCCTGGCTGTCCCTGGGTACTCACTCGGCGCAAGTAGGTTTAGTATTCTGGCGTATACCGTACTCACGCGTCGCACTCTGTGTCGTCGTTCTACCAGCGTCGCTCGTGGTGCTTCCATTCGTCTTCAGCACGCACCCCAGCGTGTTCCTCTTCAACCTGTTCCTGTCCCTGGCCGCGCCTTTCACATTCCTCAGCATTTCGTATGTCCCGCGCTCCCATTCTCTGTAACTTTTGTTCTCACAGTGTGTCGTGTCGTGTCGTGTCGTGGCTATGAAGCTATGAGGTGCTGTTCTACTGCGCGTTGAGCGCGACCCTCTATCTGTGGTACTATCTGGAGGCAGCACTCTTTCGCGGGCAGCGCCCCGAGACCCTGTCCTCTCGAGCCACCCGCGCTCTTACCGTCGGCGACGCCCGCATCGCCCTCTTTTTCGTACGCTGCCTGCCGCGATGTGTGTGTGCGTGTGTGGTGTGTGTGGTGTGTGTGGTGTGTGTGTGGTGTGGTGAAGTGTAATAATGGCAAATTGTGGGTGTATGCAGCTCTACCTGTGCTACGTGGCGTTCTTCGGGACAGGCAACATCGCGAGCATCAGCAGCTTCGAGGTGTCGTCGACCTTCCGCTTCATGTCCATCTTCAATCCGTGGGTGATGGGCGCGCTGCTCATCATCAAGCTCCTCCTGCCCTTCATCCTCGTCTCGTGTGCCTACCACATCATCGTCGCCTCGTCCCAGCTCGACCTCTCGGCCTCGTTCCTCCTCGTCATCGCCTTCTCCGACGTGCTCAGCCTCAACTTCCTCTTCCTCGTCCGCGACACCGGCAGCTGGAAGGACATCGGCACCTCCATCTCCCACTTCGCCATCTCCAACTGCTTCATCCTCTTCCACCTGGGCATCGTCGCCCTCTCCTCGCTCCTCACCTCTCGCCTCCGACTGCCGCGCCTCGTCCCCAAGCCCGACCAGCTCTCCCTCTGATGAATGATTTTACTACATTTCTGTTGGCCGCGCAAAAGGATTTATTTAATTGTTTATTGTTTATTGTTTTGATTTATTCTTTGTTTATCTTGGGATTGCAACTCTGGCGGAAGCAACGGCAGACCACGACGAGGAGACGCCACCGGTGGAGGCGAATCTGCTCGCGCAGATGGAGACGAGCGGCACCCACGGCCCGGGCCACAGGCGGCAGGCGGTGTTTGAGCGAGCTGAGGGATTGTGCACAGTGGAGCCCAAATCCGGCACTGGGCAGCACGAACGACAGGTGGAGGCCGACGCGGTGTTGAGAGGCGGTGACGCCACGGTGGTGTATCGCCCCATGCGCCCCACAGACCTCCCACAAGTCAAGCAGCTCCACGAAGAATGCTTCCCCATCAGGTGCTTACTTTTTATTATTATTTTTTAAATAATTATCTAATTAGAACAGTAGATGGTGGTACGCAGCGGTATTAGTTAATTATTATTATATTGTATTATTTATTGTCGAATAAAATAAATAATATATACAATAACTTAAAAAAACGCAGGTACGATGAAAACTTCTTCCAGGCGATGGTGACGCCGTCGGGCAGCTTCATGGCTGAGGTGGCGGTAACGCCAGACACCGACGAGGTGGTGGGCGCCATCACCGCCTCGATGGAGATCGAAAACCAAAACGAGGTTCGTGCATACGGGGCACAGCGGCCGACCGAGATCGGAGCACGTGCATTGCTGCAGTGTTTTTAATGCTCACGCGGCTGTGGTGCGGCGGTTGTGCGAGCACAGGACTGCGATATGTTGCGGTTTGAGTGGGGCTGGGACTCGCGCTACCTGGTCTACATCCTCACCATCGGAGTCACCGCGCGCTACCGACGGCACGGCATCGGTACCATCCAAGCCGTGTAGTGTCGTGTGTGCCGTGGTGTATTGGGGGAATATATATTTATTGGCCTTGGGGTGATGACACGCTGTGATTAATCGATTGTTGCGCTGTGTTGCATTTTTGTGGCGTCGCAGCGCGGGTGCTATTGGGCAAGCTGCTGCGAAAGGCAGCCAAATACGACACGTGCAAGGCCATCTACCTCCACGTGCTGGCTACCAATGCTCCTGCCATCCGCTTCTACGAACAATACGTAATTGTCTTTGTGTTATCATTTCCTTGGTCGTGTTGTGCGGTTGTGTGGTGTGTGTCATACGTTCCGCTCAAGCTTCATCGCGCGTGACTTAGGGATTCACGCGCTTGCGGGAGCTGCCCCAGTACTACCGCTTCGACGGCGACCGCCATGACGCCCTGCTGTACATCCACTACCAACACGGCGGCTGCCCGCCACGCTCGTGGGCCGAGGTCAAGGAAGACCTCCTCCTTCGACCACTGCGGCGACACACACCGGCCTATCTCACGCCCCTTCTCTCCTCCTCTTCCTCCACCCTGCACCACCACCACCTGCGAAGGGTGGGCCGGGTCCTGCGGTCGCCCGTCACCATCGTGTGCCTGATCGCCCTACCGCTCCTGTTCCTGCTCCTCTGCATCTATCTCTCCCGACAATCATCAACATAGCTCACATTCCTTCCATCAGTCTCGGGCGTGTGTGGCGTGTGTGAGTGATATGTGTTACAGTTTTACTGAGGCGCAAGGGGACAGCTAACTACACCCATCGTACCTGTTTTGTGGCGCTGTAGGTGTTGTGTAGAGCGCTCAACACCTTGCCCACGACGTCAGTTCCACATTCCTAAGCGGTACGGGCCGCGCGGGCAGCCACCCATCCCACCCCCTTCCAAAAGCGATGCACTACGCAACGAAGGCTTCTCCAGCAACCCAGTTTTCCTATATATGGTAAGGCTGTGGTCTAGGAATTGGCAGGTGGGGAAAACGCCCCAGGAAGACACAATGCCAAATTTGTAAAGAAGAGCAGGAGTGCAATCGTTTATGTGATGTACAATCAGGCTGAGAGACTAGCTACACGAAGTTGGCCTTGACGCGATTGACATTCACCTTCTTGCGGAAGTAGAGCTCCATCGTTCGCTTGTCGTTGAAGCCCTTCAGTGTGCGTCGCAGATTGGCGATGTCGGCTCCTGGGCACAGAAGAAACTCGCGTTAGATTATGTCCTCCTCCACACCGAGTATCTTGAGGAGAGTGGCCACAACTACGCCAGTTCGATCTTTGCCGGCGTGGCAGTGGATGAGGACGGGGAACTTGATGTTGTCGTCCTTCTTCTCGAAGAGCTTCATCGCGTCAGTGAGCCACTCGCGGACGTCGGCAGTGTCCGTGTGGTACTTGCCGATCTTGTTGGGGATGGACAGCTGAATCCAATCCACCTGGGGTACACTGCCATCTCCCTGGGGGTCCTTTACCTTCTCAAACTGGCGCGTATCGTCTTTGCCCATATCCAAGTTGATGATGGTTTGTGGCATACCCAGCTCCTCCCACGTGCAGAAGTCAATGAGGCCACATCTCAATATCCTTCCTGGCGGAATGATGACGCGATCAGGTACCAATTGCTGCAACACCTCGCCCACATCACGCCAGTTCTTGTGCTTCACCTCCATTGCTGCTGTTTCTACTAAGTGGGTGTTGTTCCCCACCATCAAAAATAAGGGGAAAAAAGGAAAACAACATGATCAGTTAACTGAAGATGCTGTTCTCCTTTTTTCCCTTATTTTAATGCAAATTTTTTTAACTCAGTGTGTTTTTTTTGAATTTACCAGGAAGATTTTGACCAGGGGACTTTCCAACCAAAGCTGCCAGCGCAAGGCGTGGTGCTGTGGTTGGTTGGTTATTGCACTATCCAGGAACGCATGGTGGCCCACGTGCCCCACAATGACAACACCCAAAATAGCCCACAGTGTGCAGGTGGTTGTGGTGGTGGTGGTATCCACAAAGCTTTGAGCTCATTGGTGGCCAGACATTGGGAGGGCACAGCCCACCTGCAGCCTACTGGAACAGCCAGTAAACATATTTCAACTGTGTGGGGAGGCATCCAGACAGCCAAAAAGATGGCGCCAAGGCCCTCACCATCATGCTCAATCACACATGTCACAGTGAGGTCACTGTGAGACACATAAAAGTGTGCTCATGGACACACACCTTCTCAAATGCTGTGGTGTGCTGTGTGTGGCTGTGGCCACCTCTGTTGCTCTTGCACCCACCTTGTGCATTGCAACAAG